GTGGGACAAAGGGTTTGTTCATATATGATGTTGATCAAAAAATTTTATTATAAAATTTTATCAACTTAATTGAAGAAAATGAGTTTGATGCCGTAGAGTCGGAAGAATTTGGCTATCTTCGCGCACAACAAATAAATATCAGGCTCGCACATGCCGGGAAATGGTTCGCCCGGCATGTTCCTCCCAAAGTGGCCGTGGATTGGCGGGAAGTGAACATCCAAGGGGACGTGGGAAAGAGCGGCCGCTCTTTCTGCTGGATGTAGAACCTGAAAAACAAAAATAGAAATGAAATATATGAAATAACATGGTGTGCATGTGGAACTCGTACTATGCTATCAAAGAATTGAGAAGGGAGGGACATATATAATTCGTAAGCATGTTTTTGTTTCTCGGGATTCATCCTAGTGACCTAAAAATAAAAAAACAAGGAAACAACAACATGAAATATATTAATTGGTACCAAACATCATTATGTAATCCACAGTCAGCACTCATCAAGGCAACGTTATTTATTGGTACCAAACTTCTTTATGTAATCCACAGTCAGGAATCATCAGGACATTATTTATTACCAGAAATCAAGTAATTTTCATTATTATATGACAAAACAAAATCAGAGAAATGTAATACACAGTCAGCACTCATTAAGGCAACATTATTTATTGTCAAATAAGTCAAATATACATACAAAGAAAGATTTCAATTTTTTTGGGAAATACTAGACGACCAGCGCCGTACAATTTTTCACTAACTGATTAGTAAATATAAAGCTAATAGACATAATCTTATTTAAAGCTAATACATAACAAATAATACCTATGTTTAAATAATAAAAGTTACAAATACTATTACTACTGACCCTTTTGCAAAGTTAGTTTATTCAGTTTTTGTCTAGACGATACCTCCATCATTTTTTGAAACCGTTTCGCGTGATCAAATAACCGATCTTTAAGAAATGCATAACAATACGATCAATTAGATCTGAAAGATGACTTTTCTCAGCTAATGGGTCAAAATCTATTATATGGTCCTTCATATGTGGAAAAATCGTAATTGTAAGGCACTTTGACATTACCATCATCGATATCTTCCTATCAAGATTTGGAGGAGTTTTCAGAAGACCATTTGTTTTGGAAGATAATTGACGATAACAAGCATCAGCCATTTCAACAATTCGATAAACCGAATGACTAGGCGTAAATAATCCTCCACGATCTTTAGTTTTGATCAATTTCGCAAACCGGATTGGAAGAAGGTCATCAGCATTATTCAAAAGGCTTGCGACACAGTTTTCGCATTTAAGCTTAGGACCAATAACTCTGACAACATTCCCACTGATATAGGCAAGACAATTTTTGTAAAAATCAGAGTAAAGTGGTTCTGAAATTGCACTAATGTCGATGATGTCCATTAAATCAATGTCTTTCATTTCAAGAACTTTAACCTGTCTTATCCGCTGGTAACAGCCCACCAGGTACTTGACCATCTCCAGTTGGCACAAGACAATTGCCAGTCCTGACTGACTTTAGCAAATTTTGATGCCAAATATTTTTCATACTATTTTTGAAACCAACTACGCTAGGATTATTATTGTTACCCTCTCTTCGTCGCATAGTGCCAAAAAAAATTTCCAAAGGGTCTTGCGTAAAGGTGTATGTGAGAACATAATGTAATGGAGAAATATCTCTGAACAGAAGAACTCTGGAAATTACAAGGACTGACTTTATACAAATTATCATGCCCACCGCCGCCCGTTTTCGTTCACTATCAATCAAGCGTTTCTCTACCTCTGTCCGCTTACCTGTCTTTTTATAATCTCGAATTTCTATGTATGACATACCCGATACAACGTTGCAAAATTCATTCAAGATGGAAACTTTCTGATCAAGATTAGAACGGCTCAGAGGTGACTTAAATCCTTTTTGACAGCGGTGTCTAGAATTCAAAATGTCAAAAGTTTTGTCTAAAAGATATATGAAGTCTGTTGTCCCTTCAGATCCTAAAAAATCTTTAAGTTTTAATGAGTCTCTACAAAATGAAATGGCATCAGCTACCGACTTACTGAGACTCTGAACAGCTAACTTAACATTCATTTTGTTGTTAAAAAAGTCAATATGATAGCGACCTAACTTATTGGCAGCTCTAATTTGCTCCGCAGTCTGCAATTTATACAGAGCTTCGATGAATCCCCAACTTACGCAGCGACCATCTTTTAAAGTTATTCGTCCGCCCTTGGCATAAGAATGGGACAACAAATTCCTCCATAACTTCATCATATGGACAACATCATACGTGGCGTAAACTTGTTTTGCTACGTTCGCAGGATTTTGGAAACTACAAGCGAAGTCTCTGGTCATGTCTACCTCAGTTTGGATTACTTTATCAGATATACCATAACTGTCAAATAACGAAACGTTTGAAGAACATCCATCAGAAATCAAGGCCCAGATGTTAAAGTTCTGTTGTTCAAGTAAAACAAATGCCTTTTCAAGAAAGGCATTTTGAGTTTCACCACTCACTTTGTCAGTGAAAATGTACCCAATAGGACACTTCCAACCTCCAGAGATGCCTGCGATCATGCACACCAAAGCAGCCGTGGCTAAAGGAGTGTCGTCAGATGTTACTATTTCAGACGTTCCATAGTCGACATGTCCGACAGTACAATGTGCAGCATTATCCCAAGCTAGACCTTTTCTTATAGACATTTCATCGATGATCATAACGATGTCAGTCATAACGTTATTCCTATCAGCCGCCCTAGCTGTACCCAATCTAGCTATCACATCGACATTGAACCCAGGTCCACAGTCAGAAGATTTCATCCAGGACCTAATGGTTGAAGGATTAGGCAATGTCATATAATGCCGAACAAATCGGTAAGCTTGGGGAGAATGGTAATGAAGGGTAGCTGCAAATTTTTTTAATTTCATCTCCATAGACCATTCCGCTTTTACCTTTTATTGATAAGGCTTGCTTTTCGTTGTCAACGATACTCTGAAGTAACTCGGGAAAATTAATCTAAATTAAGGAATCTAAATTTCGCTGACTCAAAGACTTAAGGTCCTCCAGGCAATCCCTTAAAGTAGATTGAGAACGGTCCCTACGTTTTAGCTTTTCCTGCAAGTGCCTGTACTTTAGCTTAAGTGTTTCTAACTCTTTCTTTACAGCCTGTAACTCGTTGGCAGTCTTAACAGGTGATCTGCAGTAGCTGTGCTCCTTTCTAACTAAGCGCCTAGATTTAGGTGTGACAGTAAGACTATATGTAGTTGTAGGAACAAGCTTTGAATTTGATGCATCGTGGTGATCGTCTAATGGTATCGATGACTCAAGTTCTTCTGTGGCAGAAAATAGACGTTTCCGGGACTTACTAGGAGTATCATTGGTCCTTGTTGGCGATGAAAACCGGGAAGTAGCAGCTGATTGACCATGAAGTTTCCCGCTCACCTCGACGACAGAAATTGCAAATGCACAAGATGGGCAAGAGATATCTCCAAGCGATTTTCGCATAGGGGGATGATCGGCTGCAGCATTTGGTCCTTCATCGTGAGGCGAGTTGTAAGCTGGAACCAGGGGTACTAATAAAAGTCTAATCAAGCTTGGGGTAAATAAATAATTTACCGTGTATAGTGTCTGCTGTAGATAACTCCATCGCAGTGTCATCATGCAAAAAAAGTGTTGGCACCGGTGAACCTATCAACCTTCGGTTTGAGTCAACTTCTTCCTTGCAAAAGTGGCGGCTACAAATCCTTGAGTTAAGTGTGGGACTCCACAAACCGTCATGACGTACTGTTGCTGTTGTTCTAAGAGTCAGAAAAACCTCCGTCCTTTAAACAACCCCCCATAACTTTTGATCCAGAGGTCACACCCTAATGCATGAGGGCTCGTTGGAAAGCTGACCATATTTGGGGTCCACCCCTTTGCAATTCAGTGACCTAAGCCACACCCACTCGGAACCACACCCCCTCAAAACCAAACTTTGCGTCTGGGAGCCTAATTTAATCATGTGGGGTGTCTAATGAAAGCTCCTGAGATGGACCAACCAACCCCACTGTCGCCTAAACAAATTACGCCGAACCACACCCATCGTGAACCACACCCCCAAGGTCGAAAATTTTTATTTCCGTTTAACATATCGAATGGGGTATCGTTGGAAAGGTCTGGATCATAGTAACTTGGCGACACCATAAGCACTATTATGAGCCACACCCACCGTGAACCACACCCCCTACTGTCGAAAGTCTTTATTTCCTGTAAAACCCATCGAGTTGGATATCGTTGGAAAGGTCTGGGTGGCAGCAACTCTGTGATACTGCAATATGGTTCTAGCGCTCTGAACCACACCCATCGCGAACCACACCAAGCGGGAACCACACCCATCGAAAACCACACCCCCACATGTCGAAATTTATGTTTTCGTTGTAATCCATCGAGTGGGGTATCGTTGGAAAGGTCTTGGTTGTGGCAACTCTGCAACACCAACACCAACATTATTCTGAGGCACACCCTTCTTGAACCACACCCCCTGGTCGAGAAATTTTATTTTCATTTAAACATATCAAATGGGGTATCGTTGGAAAGGTCTGCGCCTCACGAACCCATCGATAACAAAATTATCACTCTGAACCACACCCATCCTGAACCACACCCTCTCATTCATACCGAAATTTTATTTTCGTTGTAACCCATCGAGTGGGATATCGTTGGAAAGGTATGCGTTGCAGCAACTCGTCGATGCTAATACAAATACTCTGAACCACACCCATCGGGGACCACACCCATCGGGGAGCACACCCCGATTGTGGAAATTTTATTTTCGTTATAACATATCGAGTGGGGTATCATTGGAAAGGTCGGGGCTAGCAACTCCACGACATCAATACTATCACCCACTAGCAGCCCCTTCATAAAATCCAATTTTTATCTACCCTAACGAGTGGAATTATGTCTTAAAATGTTGTGGTTAAGAGAAATTTGAGCCAGGACCGGACAAAATTTATTTTACTCATATTAGTTTTGTTAAAATTTATTTGCAGAATTAGTATTATATGCATTATAAATCCGAGTTCAATTAACAGTCATCTAAGTGAAGGCGCCTTCGTGAGGTCTGCATATGTTCCGGTGCCGCATTAGAATCTTCGGAAGTTTCTGAAAAAATTGAAACTTCATCCTGTGAGATGTTATCGTCATGAACATCAAATCTAAATGGATCGATAACATCAATTTCGTCGTCATCATCGTCCTGGTCTTCACCAGTAATCTAAAATAAGGTGAGGTTTCATTATTTTTTCAGACATGCTCATTTAATTTTTAAAAATTTGTTTGTACCGTTATTCGTTGGTCATCTGGAATTGCATCCAGGCCATCCATTAAGCGCTCGTATAAGCCCGCCTCCTCCCAGTACTTATTTTCTAGCCTTAGAATAATTTTAGAAATTCAAATAATTATAAAAATGTAAATAATAAACACATTGTCTAAAATGCGTAGATGTCTTATATGAATTACCTTAGCACATGGTCAATATGTTTTTTTCACTGTTCCGGAGAATACGACGCCATTATTCTCTCAGCTTCGCGCTGTGCGAATTCTGATGTGGCTAAAAAATTTGCGCATCGTACAGCATGTTTGATATCCTTCCAAACATACTCGATAGGATTTAGGTCACTATTCAGAGGCGTTTAATTAATTTAGGAAATAATAAATTTTAATCCTAATTGAATTTGTACATACCAATTGTAGGGTGGAAGCCTGTTTAAAGTAAATTCTGGGATTTAGTTTTTTGCCAATATTATGTAATATTACATGATCTCACCTCACAACAATATTTCCATACTTTAGTGCCTCCTGATCTACTTCGTAGTAGTTATTAACGGATTTGAGTCCCTGTACCAGGTTCCATAATTCCGGTCTGCGCATATCTCCAATGGGCTTTAACTCTGACCTACGTGATAATGGAATATTATCCTCTAGCCAATCGTACATATCCTGTTTCTTCGAAGAAGATTTCGGGGCATTAAGTGTGCTATGGTAAGGGGCTAACATGGAAAAAATATGAAATTAGTCTTCAATATCTTATGTCTATACAGTAGTGTGTCCAAAGATTTTTGTCAAACCGTTATCAATGACAATAATGCATGATCCGTAATTTTCTTGCACTTGTTCATTTAAATTTCTCCACCACCGCATGTATGAATCTCCATCAACATTTTGATGATAGTCCTCTGTAACCTTAGATTTTGACACTGGGTATATCTTCATAACATTTGGAACGAAGCCACCACTACCACCTATTTAGCAATATTAAAAAGTTAATTTTCTTAAATTTTCTTATTTTAACTATTTTAGAGAAATTAATGTATGTACAATACCTGCGTGCATAATAATCACCCTCGGCCCTCTTGACACTTTTGGATTTTTGTAAGAATACTTTGCAGCTTCTTCAAACGTTTTGGGCTTGCTAATTACCCACCCTTTACCGGTTCTTGCGTGCGGATCTATCCAGGTCTCATCTACATTAAAATTAAAAACAACAAATCAAATAAAGCCAAATCGGTAGTGCTTAATATTATTTCTCACCGGTGAAAATTACGCATTTGGGGTTATCTGATTCTCTGTTTCGTTTCATTATTTCAAGATAATCCCATCGTTTAGCAGCAATATCAACGCGAAGGAGAATCACAGAACGATTATTTATCCGCTTAAATCGAAAGCCTAACTGTCGAATGATTTTTCGCAGAGACCACTTAGAGCATTTAAATTGTACTATATTTTCTCCATTTGAAACACGGCCATCTTCTTCTTGTTTAACATCTTCCATAAACTTCTTGTAAACCATTTGCAAAGTTGGAGCTATATTTCCGGCATAGAAAGACTGAATAACATTTGTAAGGTGGTCCATCCTAAATTTATCGAATTGATCCAATATTGGTGTCGGCCTTATCCGTTTCTGTCAAGGTGTATGAATAGCATTATTTTTATAGTTGTGCAGAGTTTGATATACAGAAACTCTGTTTATGCCAAGGACAGAAGCCGCCTTTTCAACGCTTGTCCCGTCTAGTAAAGTTGGGTCTTGTGCATATTGATCAAAGAAGGATTTCGTATTTACAATTAATTTTTGAGCTGTGGATTGCAGTGGCACACCTGTCATCGAGAATGGATGCTTGAATGGTTCTTTTTTACAATTGTTATTTGCCTTCGGTGTGGGGGAAGATATTTCGAAGGACGACATTTGCATGGGAAGAGAATTTTGTGCACATCTTGACAGGCTTAGATAAGGTTTAATTCCGTTCTCACTTGGAATATCGGGAATTGGTAAATGCTGTTATATATCTCTTATTACTAGCTCTCGACGTTTGATAAGGTCAAAGAAAAATCCACATAAATCCTCTGAACAAGGGGGTCCAATAATTAACACATCCTGCACGTAATCTTGGATAAAAGTCATAGCCTCATCAGATAGTGGAGTAGGTGTATAAGAGTCCCCAATTTTCTCTAAATCCAACTCGGGTACACTTGTTAAATGGTGTGTTTTAAGAAGAACAACGCAATACGTTTTATCTTGTGCACTAGGCATTCCATTTTCAAAATCTGTGGCTCTCTGTGTTTCGGTATATTTCATATCACTCCCAATTTCTTCATTTCCCACAACAAAATAAAATCTTCGAACATCCCTTGGCCCTGTTCCTGTTCCACCATGAGGCTCAATAACACTTGAAAGTGCATAATTTTTGAAGTTTGCTAACATTACTAGATTAATTGTATGCCCAGCCTCAAGCACGACTTCTATAAATCCAGAAAGCGAAGTAGATTTTGGCTGGTAAGCCCCTTGAGGACAAATTCTTTTATGCTCGATGAAAGAGTTTCGATTTTCTGAATTTTGCATGGCGACCTCGTTTATAATAATTCTGCACCCACTTTTGTACGGGGCCAAAGGGTAATCAGTTGGGGAGTTTGATGTGGACGCTCCAGTTCCGTCAGGGTCCTCAGGTTCCAGTAAAGGTGGGATAGAAGGTATATGGTGTCCGGGTGGGTGTTCCGGACCGGATGGACCGAGTGATGCAGATTGATCTCCTTCACGACGGTTGTCATCTCCTCCATCTTCAAGCTGGGATCAAAATACATATATTTTAATATTTTTTTTTACATGTGGATCAATTACTTTTGCCACACTGTTGAACGTAGTTGTACAACGCGAAAGAATGCATAGAAAAATCAAGTCTGCGATTTTATGAATATATCATTTTTCCAGAATTTCTGCACGCATAAGTTCAAACAAAATTACCGGTTTACTATTCCCAGGCTTGTTTCTGTCATCGGGAAAATAAATTTTGTGGACATCCAGCTAAAATAAAAGTATGCTTGTGTATCTATGTATGTATGTATAAGTTATATTTATTTGATGGACACAAATACTTATGTATTTTTTTACCTTAAATTCTTCAGCCAGCGATGGAGAGAGTGTGTAGCAACTCCCTAACCACACTTCTTCAAGAAGTGTCATCCATTTATTTTCGATTTCATTGACTTTAATAAATGCACTGGCAGCCTCCTTACTGGTAAGTTTTATGCTATCAAAGTCCGAGTGTTGAGCAAATGTAAACACAATGCTTGGCTGGAACGTAGTTGGGTAATAATACAAAAAGGATGTGTAGTGTTTCCCAAAATAGTTTTCAAATTGACGCTTTGCTTCCATGGCCGTCACAAAAATTGGAGCGAGATCTGGACGATGCCATTGAACAGATTTCAAAAGTTTTTGGTCTGCTGCCAAGGGATCCCTTCCAAGCAGGTAATCCACATCATGTTGACGACATGCCGCATCTAGTATTTTCAAAAGTTCATAATTAGCAGGTTTATACCACGGCATGAAATGCATTTAAAGTGGTTTTGAATACATGCATTACTGCATGAAATTAATAAAATATCCCTAAGCTGATTACTAGCAGTGTTTGCCACCCCGGGTTTTTGCTTGGGTTGGGTTTTTGGGTTTTTGTGGGTTTTTGGGTCGCAAAAAAAGGAAAAACCCACGTGGGTTTTTGGGTTTTTCCAATGGTATTTGGGTTTTTGCTTGGGTTTTTGCTAAAAATTTGTACTTTTCAAATGATTTTGATATTTGAAATGAAGTATTTACGTTTACCTAAGTTATTAAACACATATAAGCACAAGAAAATGCAGAAAAATGTAAATGTACGCATTTTTTGGGAAGTTATATTTTACCATGCATTCCTTATGAATGACTGGGGCTTTTATAAAAATTGATATTTTTACAAGTATCTGGTAGTTGAAAATAACGGATTTTAGTATCATAAGTTTTTAAACAAATATTTGCAAAATAATTGGCCCACAAATTGAAATGCAAGCATGTTGAAGAAAGTTATACTTACGCCGTGTATTTCTTATGGATGACTTCGAAAATTTACTTATTTTGGAATAACTTCGGTAATTCTGATCAGATCGCGATAATTAAATTACCGTTGTTTCTAATTTTTCCAGATGTATTGAATAATCATGTTTCTGGTGTGTACCATTTTGCCCCAAAAAGAGCAAAAACCCAAAAACCCACAAAAACCCAAAAACCCACAAAAACCCCAAAAACCCACGAAAAACCCATGGGTCGGGGTTTTTGAGGAAAAACCCCGGGTTTTTCTTAACACTGATTACTAGATCCTTGAAGCTCTCATGATTTCTATCAGATTAAACAATAATTTATAAATAGGGTCTAAGTATATGAAATAACGTTACATATAGTCAATACCAGTATAGGATAAAGAATAATAAAGTACTAAAGTCCCTGACAAATATCAAAATACTCAATTTTTAGGTGGACGAAGTTCTAGTCGTACTCCAATATCAATTTTTAATAAATTTACGGACAGTTTAAGCTTTAGTATTCAATTCGTGCATTTTATGTGATTTTATGAATTTCCTGCGGTTTCGTGCACTGTGTTGTGCAAAAACGAAACCCTGACAATTAGTTAGAATCAATTGTGCAAACTCACCTAATGAATTAATAGGTCCCCCGAGATCGTCCATCTTCTCCACGTCCGTCCCTGGTCCACAGTATCTGTAACCCAATTAAGTTTGAAATACAAATCTTAAATACTCAAGTTATATGCTATCGTCATACCTATAACCGGGAAGATTGAACGACAAGCCATCATAATTTTCTCGTGGTTTAGGTTTAGACTCCACTAGAATCGCAGCACGCTTTCGAGTATAATTTCTTTGTTCGGACAGACTATCTTTTTCCAATATGTAGCACGCCCCCAAATTTTTGTGCCTTACTGGAATTTGATGCTTTCCTTTGGTGAAAAATTGTGAAGCAATTAAACTTGCGCCTCTTAGCTTTAAACAGTTATGCTGGCTGCACATATCTATCACTTCACACATAATTGGGAGATGACCTGTTAGTTCGTATGAAGTGATCGTCCCATTCCTTTGGCGGCACATATCTCGTCCTATCATAAACCCGTTTGCATAGAGGTCGTCATATAATCCATTGATTTTTCTATTTGCAGGGAATGTATGATCTTTATTCCCAACGGATAATTTGGTTTCATAATAAGAAGCCAGGTCCAGATTTGACACAAAATTCAACTTTTTAAGTTTTTTCGTGTTCCAAATTCGAATAGTTCCAGTAATATATTCCATAACCGACAAGGGAAACTTGTCAGCCGCCAATAAACTCATTGGCGGGAATTAGAGAGTAGACACATTGTAGTGTTGCAAAATTGCACGAAATCACAGGCTGTTGGCAATTTTCCTTGGTAAGTGATATAAATCCCATTATTAAACGCAGGGATTGTCTTACATTCCGACTCGATTTGTAAGTTGGTTTTCAAGATAAAGTCAGAAAACTCAGAGTTTCTATCACACACGCACAATTTTAAAGTCAGAATAAACACTGCCACAAAATAAAACACGTACATGTCGAATGGAGAATACAATAACGATTTAGTTAGAAAATTACGACCCTTTCGCATACGCTGTTGAAACACAACTGAAGGAATTATGTGATGGAGGCAAGTATATCTGGAAACTATCTGGTATATTTTTGGCACTCCAAGCACATATCTCTTCTTGCACCCTTGTATTCCTGGAAAAAAAGATGTCCCTTTTCGGAATGTTACAATAGGCACAAGTATTTTACATTCAAGGTTTTCTTGGAATTTTTCTAAGTGAACCCAACTTCCAAAAAAGATAATCGTGTCAAAGAAAACCCTTATTTATAATTCTATTACAGAAATGACGGTTAACGATTATGCGACTACTTATAGAAATAAAGAATATTTTATTGTTAAAAATGCATAGTTTCCGTTGAATTTGTGACCACAATATAAAACCAGATATTTTGTAGGTCAACGGTTATATTTATATATAGCTAAATGTACATAAATTCACGAATTTAACCATTTTACACTAAATCCGGTCAGATCATTTCCAACAAAAAATGTAGTAATTTGTTAATCAGGGATTGGCGTAAATTTCATCATATTTACATTTAATTTAATTTACGAATTTTTAGTGGTAACGAACTTTGGCCGAATGGGGACACTTTTTTCATGTGGTGCATAATCGTTGGTATGGTTGACTTAATTAGCAACTAAATGCATCTGAATACACTGCAACTTGCAAAGATACTCCAGGCAGCCTAAAAATTTCAAATTTTTAAATTGATGTGGCTGCTGGTGGGTGTGCCTAGGAGTACTAGTAATACTAGTGATAGTGATATCGTGGAATTGCCAGTCTTGACCATTCCAACGATACCCCACTTGAAGGGTTTCAATGTAGAGGAATATCGGCCCAAGAAGGAGCCGAACAAACCTATAAATGCCTGTAAAAAATTGAACAATAAGTACGACAATTAATGGAAGGTTTTGTTGCAAATTTCATAGGGAACAAGGATCAGAAAACCAGAAGTCTCAATTCCTGGCGGTTTAAAAATGCGGAGATACATAGCGGAGCAACACGTAAAACGTATTTGCCAGTACTACGAAAATGTGTGCTGACGCTCAAGTTGAGTCACAGCAATTTGGAAAGAAAGGAATTCCAAAATCAACAAATTGCGAAGTTCTTAATAGGTTTCAGGACTCTGAGCCAGTAAAATTTACAAAAAAAATTAGTTGTCCAACCTGTCTAATCACCACTAAAGTTAAATATTAACACCGTTGATAAAATGCATAAAGGAAAAAGGTAGTGAAAACCCGGGCAGAGGCGTTTTTCGAGTTGCCACACTATTTGTCCCCGCACTTTTGAACCTCTAGGAATTGAGATTTCTGGTTTTCTGATCCTTGTTGCCTATGAAATTTGCCACAAAAAACCCAGTCGTACTTATTGTCTACGGTTTTTACATGCATTTATAGGTTTGCTCGGCTCCATCTTGGTCACCCTCTAAATGAGATATCTACATGTGGGGTATGGTTCAGGATGTGTGGGGTTCAGGATGATAATTTTGGCAACGCAGAGTTGTTGCGACTCGGACCGTTCTGGCAATACCCCACTCGATATGTTATAACGAAAATAAAATTTCCACAATCGGGGTGTGCTCCCCGATGGGTGTGGTCCCCGATGGGTGTGGTTCAGAGTATTTGTATTAGCATCGACGAGTTGCTGCAACGCATACCTTTCCAACGATATCCCACTCGATGGGTTACAACGAAAATAAAATTTCGGTATGAATGAGAGGGTGTGGTTCAGGATGGGTGTGGTTCAGAGTGATAATTTTGTTATCGATGGGTTCGTGAGGCGCAGACCTTTCCAACGATACCCCATTTGATATGTTTAAATGAAAATAAAATTTCTCGACCAGGGGGTGTGGTTCAAGAAGGGTGTGCCTCAGAATAATGTTGGTGTTGGTGTTGCAGAGTTGCCACAACCAAGACCTTTCCAACGATACCCCACTCGATGGATTACAACGAAAACATAAATTTCGACATGTGGGGGTGTGGTTTTCGATGGGTGTGGTTCCCGCTTGGTGTGGTTCGCGATGGGTGTGGTTCAGAGCGCTAGAACCATATTGCAGTATCACAGAGTTGCTGCCACCCAGACCTTTCCAACGATATCCAACTCGATGGGTTTTACAGGAAATAAAGACTTTCGACAGTAGGGGGTGTGGTTCACGGTGGGTGTGGCTCATAATAGTGCTTATGGTGTCGCCAAGTTACTATGATCCAGACCTTTCCAACGATACCCCATTCGATATGTTAAACGGAAATAAAAATTTTCGACCTTGGGGGTGTGGTTCACGATGGGTGTGGTTCGGCGTAATTTGTTTAGGCGACAGTGGGGTTGGTTGGTCCATCTCAGGAGCTTTCATTAGACACCCCACATGATTAAATTAGGCTCCCAGACGCAAAGTTTGGTTTTGAGGGGGTGTGGTTCCGAGTGGGTGTGGCTTAGGTCACTGAATTGCAAAGGGGTGGACCCCAAATATGGTCAGCTTTCCAACGAGCCCTCATGCATTAGGGTGTGACCTCTGGATCAAAAGTTATGGGGGGTTGTTTAAAGGACGGAGGTTTTTCTGACTCTTAGAACAACAGCAACAGTAAGGTCCGAATTATGGCAATCCACTTACTGCAAATATGTTTCTTAGTTGCACTTGTCGGGAATCTGTCAGTCGTAATAATATTTCAATCAATTTTTTATAATGCTTGCGTATGGCTAACTTGATTAAAAAAATGACTAACTTGTGCCATGAAAGCTGCTTTTCGTTCTTCCGATCCCAGGCTTCACAATTTGGAACTACACAACTACGGTAATCCCCGTTCATGACCTTCATAACAAAAGCGGTACAGATTAATTACATATATGAAAAATTCCTGCATTTGAAATAACGAAAAATCCCTGGCTTGTTTAACGGAAACATAAAAACAGAAATATTGAATTATTTAAGTTTAACGAAGTTATTCGAGACTAATATCAAAGAAATCAACGAAATTTTTAAGTTAATCCAAAATAACAATTTACTAACTCATAGAAAGCAAGAATAGATTATAATCGCTAATTAGAATCATGTATGGCACAAAGGATAAATATTTTAAGTGTTAAGCCTGACTAGCCCGACTTAAGCTAAATTGATTACTGAATGCGGGTCCTGCTTTATAAGACCGGCCGCAGCGTTATGCACATTTCTAGTTAGTGCATATATACATTCAATTACAAATTATCAATTAAAAAAATGAATGATTTTCATAAATGATTTCATAAATAATTGATTTTCCGTACACTGATTACCATAGGCTCGATCTGTAATGAGGAACAAACTAATTACTCTCATTGTCTTACACAGTTAACTACTAATTAATTTCACAAGTATAAATGTGAATAGAATTATTAAATTAACTCACCTCTTTCCCACAACAGTGAAGTTGTCACAACAAAATAAAACAAAAGTAGAGAGCAGCAAAATTGACTTTAATTAATCGGCTAATTATGATTATAAAAATTATTTATTCTTAGCACGTGGTTCAATGTTGGATTTGTCTCAGCTGATTATGAAATTCGAGCCTGATATTGCATTAATTTTGGCCCCTGTCGAAGGAGGGCACCCCTTTATCATGAATTGCCTACCCACCATACAAATCCATTGAGTCATATACGGTTGGTACACAATAAGTACCACAATTTTTGCACCGTGTATAAAATTTTCTCTAGTTTCCAGCATAAATTTTATCACCCCCACAATCATAACGGTCCCGCATAGTAAGAAAGCCGGCAAAATTAGTTCAATCGAGACACGATGCGATTCATGAAACGTCACTTCCTCCTTCACATCCCCAAGCGAATATTGCACCGCCTTAAAGTATATCCTTTTACCAATCATATTTTTTACCTCCATTAGAATTAAATTATTTATGTACACACTATCCCACATCTGCGCCAAGCCTGCCTCTTTCAAACGCCCACTCTCCTTTTTCTTAGGTGAGGCAAAGCCGGAAAGCTGGGCCCCATCTCAAAAAGCATATGTGAATATGCTCAAGTGGGGCCCGGCGAAGCTAAGACTGCATTCCGGGTCACCGTCCAGAAACTCTCACAAGGTTTCAGCCAAAACGATGCACTCAATCGAAAAATGACAAGAGGCAAAATAATTACATAATTCCGTTCCTCAGTGTCTTTTTGTGTCGAATTTTGAAATTGTGAAGTTTTTATGTTCGAAAACGAGTTCCGAACCACTTGCATAACTAAATACATTGAGCAATTTATGAATGAGAAACAAGTGTGACCAAGTTGTTGGCTTTGGTGGCACCAAAGCCAACAACTGTAGCCTGCTTGGCTCTGGGGTGGTACCTCCGGCTTCGGTGCCTTTGTGTCATGGGTTCGATGCCCGTTGGGTTCTACTTTTTTGCTCGTTTTTGCAAATTCTAATGTCTTTGCATTTACATGGGAAACTTTTTAAATGCAACAACTAATCATATTACACCCCCTAGAGAGGTGTGGTCACTGGTAGGAATTACCTGATGCATTAAAAAAAAAATTTTTCGAATTCTGGTGCCAGGATTATCTAAAAACTTGACTCATGTTTAGAAAGTAAACAAATTTACAACGAATAATTTTGTGACCAGTTGTCATTGACCACACCCATTGGGGGAGGAGTTCCATTTATAAAAAAGTTGCGGTAATCTCAATAATTCACTCATTTCTAACCGAGGCTTAGAACGTCAATATTTAAGTCGATATTGGTGTAATCAATTATTTATGGGGTCACACCCCCTCTAGGGGCAAGATGAGATTCTTCTAAGAAACGTTACCATGTATTCAAATTACAAATTTAAGTTACTTTATAGCAGTGTTACTGCTGTTAAAACGTTTGAAACCACCCACCAAAAATCCGAAAAAGTGCATAACATGCACAAAAATGTTTAAATGCGAACAAATAAATTATAATCGCATAAATCACATTTTTCGACATATCTGAATCATTAAAACAATTTTGTGGTATTTCCCAAAATTTCTTCATGAATATTGTTTGAGTAAAAACTATTTAATTTTTTGCAACTTCGTTTCAGTGAGTTTTAATTTTCATTTTGCTACAGTGGTTAGTGGCAGTTCAACACTTATGTACTAATAAAATGAGATTCATACGACTTTTAGTTTATAAAGCCATATTGAACATAATTTATCATTTTTTTGCATTTTTTTTCATTTTTATGCATAAAAATTATTTTAGGCGCCTAAAAAGAAACACTGCTTTGTAGCTGTTTCCCCAAGAAACCAGGGCCAGAGATGTGGAGAAATGAAGTCAACCGGAGAACTATCGCAAAACCCAAAATAATTAAGGTGTTTTTGGGAATCGGAGAAAACCTTTAACCTTCCACAGTTATATTTGTTAATTATTACCCTCTGGGGCTTGGGAAAATTAATTTTAAAATTATTAGTCAATAAATTAAAGCGTATTATATTTAGCTAAAATCGAAATGATAAATCATATTAAAACTAGAAAATAAATATTTTTTCAAAAAAACACTCTTAGGTTCGGCAATTGATATCGCACATAAAATAAGAAAACAAGTAATTTTACGGGTACATTTTATTAAATATCACATTGCAGAATTAATTTCTCGCATGCGCCATAACGGTGGTGCAATATTATTATTATATTGCCTCGCCGTGGGCCAAATATAAGCATAGAGTTTTGTGTATCAAGTGTGTTTGCTGAAAAAATAGTTAGCAACAAATTTTTTTAATTGGCCGGTATTATTGAAATGGTAACTAAGAAAGATTTTATAAAAAAATTGGCCTAAGGTGTGAATGAAAAATTAAAATTATCTAAAATGTAGAATTAACTCACTGCAATTTCAAACACATTATTTGCTTGATTAATTGCGAGATCATCCAGGTTAAGACTTAACATTCTTTTTCACTTCAATTATAGAATTGTCTTTATCTGACATTTAGGATTGGAGGAAATCTTGCAGCCATCAGTAAATTTTAATATAAAATCGTAGTCATATGTAACAAATTGAATTGGCATTTTGTATAAGATCATATTGGGAGAGAGAAGACCAACCAGAATAATAGTTGTTAAATTTTTATACAGGCCCACGGGGAGGCAATTAACTTATATAATAGCCCAGTTCTGTCTGTCCGTCTGTCTGTCCCTAACGCATCCCTTCAATGTATTACTCACAGCATGGAAGGGATAGGATGTGAGCCAGTTGCAACTACCATGTTTCTTGGTTTGGTCCTGGTTTGGTCGTGACCAAACCAAGTCAACTATATGGGTGACCATACTGAAGGTAGTCATGATTTGGTTTTGGTTTGGTCGAGACCAGAACCAAACCAAGACAACTATATGGGTTACCACATTGAAGGTAGTCATGATTTGGTTTTGGTTTGGTCGAGACCAGAACCAAACCAAGTCAACTATATGGGTGACCATACTGAAGGTAGTCATGATTTGGTTTTGGTTTGGTCGAGACCAGAACCAAACCAAGACAACTATATGGGTTACCACATTAAAGGTAGTCATGATTTGGTTTTGGTTTGGTCGAGACCAGAACCAAACCAAGTCAACTATATGATTGATTATATTATACTGACAGTCTTGATTTGGTGTTGGTCAACCAAACCAAATCTACACCTCGATACTTTATCATTCTCAGAGTTGATTTAGTAGGGTTAAAATCAGTTACATGATTGACTCGGCGTATCAAAGAGTATATAATCCTAATCATATAATAACATACATCAGTTGCATACATACATAATACGCAAAATACGCAACAAAATTTAGGCCTCAAGCGAGTTTCCAGCACGGGGTTGACGTTGCGCATTGTCTTAATCTTATTGAATTTGTTAAAGACTGGTCTGTTGTTTACTATAAACTATTTATAAATTTAAATCTGAGTCTGATATCGTTCACTGTCCAGGTAAACTACAGCTCTGGTAAATATACGTTTAGTAATGCAAGCATTAGCGTGGTGGATGTTGCCTAATTATGTTTCTTGATTTCCAGTAGATGGAGCAAAACGAAAATCCAATTGATCGGAAAGGTAGGCTTACGCGAGAAAGGTATCAACGATGGAAAGCCCGACAAAGTCAGGCGACACTGGAAAGAATTCGGATGGAGGATGCCGAGAGGAAGCGTGTGAGACGAGAATTGGAACTTCCCGAACAATCAGGCAGTCGTCGTGAGGCCGATGCCGAAGCCCGTCGATTGAGTCGTCAGTCGGAAACATCTGAGGAATCGGAAGTTCGTCGTGAAACCGATGCCGAAGCACATCGATTAAGCCGCCACTCGGAATCAGTTGGGGAGTCAGAACTTCGTCGAGAGGCCAATGCCGAAGCACATCGATTAAGCCGCCACTCGGAATCAGTTGGGGAGTCAGAACTTCGTCGAGAGGCCAATGCCAAAGCACATCGATTAAGCCGTCTGTCGGAAACAGTTCGGGAGTCAGAAGTTCGTCGTGAGACCGACGCCGAAGCCCATCGATTATGTCGGCAGTCGGAAACATCTGTTGAATCTCAAGTTCGTCGTGCTGCAGATTTGTTACGACATCAAGCAGCTGCGGAACGAGAAAGTCAAGCTATCCGAGATGAAGCACTTAGTGTAGACGTGGACGAAAATAATGTAATGCAACATAACTGTGGGGACATGAATATTATCTGTCAGTATTGCGGATCTAAAAATTTTACTTCTGAACGGCCTACGGACGGAAAGTTTACCTCATGTTGCCGTAAAGGGAAGGTAAAGTTACCAAAACCGTCTGACGGTAATGGTATGGAACTTCCATATCCAGATTTTTTACGAATTCTACTGTCAGACGCAGATAATCCGAATTGTTCACAATTCCGCGAACTTATCCGATCTTATAACAGTTCTGTTTCCTTTGCATCAATGGGGGCGAAGATTGTGGACATGCCTGGAAGAGGTCCATATATATTAAAAGTTTACGGGCAGACGTATCATAGGACATCACACATTCAGCCGGCCGATGATGTATCACCACAATACGCACAACTATATGTACTTGATAGTACCCAAGCCACAACAATCCGTCAGAACCATCCAGCAAATGAAAACTGCAACCCTTTAATCTTGGATGAGATTGATCGCTTTTTTCGACAACATAATATTATTGCCCGGAGTTATCAGATGATGCGAGAAATTCAAACTGAAGAAAGTCGGCAAGCGGTTGAAAGAGGCGACAACATACCTGTTGTTAATATGGCTTTTCGAAGAGATCGTCAATTAGATCAAAGAAGATACAACGAACCCATGTCAAATGAAATTGCCATGGTATTTGTTAACGACGATGGTGAACCCCCTTTCGAACGGGATATCAGAATTTATCCAAGAAACCCACAAGATCCCAATCAACAGTTTGTCAACATCAACATCCTCAGTCCAAACTTAGATCCCATGACTTACGCAATTTTGTTTCCTTATGGCGAACCAGGATGGCAACCAAACTGGCAATGCGGATCATACGATGGGGTACAAAGGAATCCTGTCCGAAATAACATAAGCATGCTGCAGTACAAAGCTGCACATACTGCAATTCGTGAATATTTTAACCCAATAATGAGTGCCGGAAAATTAACTCCAGTGGTTGGTTGATTCCTACCTTCAGGTCGAAGCAAATGATCTTAATTTTGCAAGATTTAAGCAAAATAAATTACGTGCGGAGTTATACCAAAGCTTAGCGGATCATGTAGCAAATCTAGAGAACAACGCTAATGTTCCAGCTGGAGTGCCCCAAATTTTGCCATCAAGTTTTGAAGGATCTCCAAGGAATATGGCCGAGATATGCAAGGATGCAAAGGCAATTTTTGCAAAATGGGGAGCCCCTGATCTATTCATAACTTTCACAGCAAATCCAAATTGGTCTGAGATTACCGCGAATTTGAAGTCCTGGGAGCAAACCTCGGATCGTCCAGATTTAGTCGCCAGAATTTTCAAAATAAAACTAAGGTCTTTGCTTGCTGATGTTACGGTTCATGGAATTTTCGGCAAATCAATTGCACATGCTTACACTATCGAATTCCAGAAACGAGGGCTCCCACATGCTCATATTTTGGTAACGTTACAATCAGAAGCCAAGTTCACCACAGCTGAGCAAATAGATAAATTTGTTCAGGCTGAGATTCCAGATCCTGTCAAAAATCCTCGCCTTCACCAAATTGTTATTAAGTGTATGTTGCATGGCCCATGTGGTAACTTGAGACCAAATGCCGCATGCATGGAAAGTGGAGAATGCAAGAAAAGTTTCCCAAGGAGTTCAATGAGGTAACCAGACCAAACATCAAAGGATACCCGTTATATCGTCGTCGGAGAGGGACAACGGTTCAGGTTCGAGGAGCGACAATGGACAACAGATATGTGGTTCCGTATAGCCCCTACTTGCTTCTAAAATACAATGCTCATATAAATATCGAAGTTTGCACATCGTTACTGGCTGTTAAATATATTTACAAGTACATCTATAAAGGCTTCGATTGTGCAAGTATAGCAATTACCTCAGAAGGACAACCACAACTTCGATACAACGAAATTGACAACTATATTAACGGTCGTTATCTTAGTGCACCAGAAGCAATGTGGAGACTACTGGAATTTAAAATGCACGATAGATCCCATGCCGTTATGAAACTTCCGTTTCACCTTCCTAACCAGCAACGAATTAGATTTGAAGAAGGTCGAGAAGAGGAAGCTTTGTTAGCTGCTCAAACTGGTCGAACTAAATTGGAATCGTGGTTTCACCTCAACACTAATGATCCTGACGCACAACAATTTTTGTACACTGAAATTCCACTCAACTACGTATATGTTAAAGGAAATTGGCAAAAGCGACAACGCGGTGGAAACAAATTCGTTGTTCGGATGTACCCCGCCAGTTTGAAGGACGAGGAAAATTATTACCTTCGATTGCTACTACTTCATGTTCGAGGTGCCACCTCCTATGAGTCAGTCCGAACATTTAACTCAATTACGTATTCTTCATTTAAGGAGGCAGCCATGGCACGGGGACTTCTTGAGTCTGACGAAGAATGGGACCGGTGTTTATCAGAAGCCAGTATTTTCCAGATGCCAAAACAATTGCGAGAAACATTTTGTTATATCTGTTGTTTTTGTCAGCCTGCCAAGCCGCTGGATTTATGGACCAAATTTCAAGTTGAAATGTCTTTGGATTACTCACGAAACCGGCAGAACGATGATGCTGTGAATATGGCGCTTCATGATATAGACGAAATTCTTCAGCAGCATGGATTATCATGTACAAAAATTGGGCTGCCGGAACCAACTGGGCAGGCACCTCAAGAAGAATGTTTTAACCCGATTCTGGAAGCTCAGCTTGCTGAAGAGCGAATAGGAATGCTTAATGCAAACCAGCGAGACGCCTTCAACGGGATTGTACGTGCTATCGATAATGCTGAAGAACCAGAACGTGCATTCTATGTGGATGGTCCTGGTGGGTCGGGAAAGACTTTCTTATACACCACCTTATTGTCTTTTGTTCGAGGAAGATCTCAAGTTGCCTTGCCATTTGCCACGACGGGGATTGCAGCCACGTTGTTAAAAGGAGGTAGAACCGCACATAGTGGATTTAAGCTTGAAGTTCCACTTAGTGATACATCCGTTTCGGGGTTACGACCATCTTCAAAAGATGCAGATGTGCTTCGTCAAGCCTCTCTCATACTTATCGACGAGATCACCATGCTGTCAAAACATGGGCTTAGGTGTATCGACAGATTGTTGCGTGAAGTGATGAGTTGCAAGGAAAAGCCATTCGGTGGAAAAGTGATTGTGATTAGGGGAGATTTTCGGCAAACCCTTCCAGTAGTCCCAAGAGGATCCCGCGCCCAAATTCTTGAATGCTGAATCAAGTCGAGCAACATTTGGAACAAATTCGTAACTCTTACTCTTACGGTAAATATGAGAACAGATGGACACGACGACCACAATAATTGGCTGCTAAAAGTTGGAACTGGAGATTTAGACCCCATTAACGAAGTACCATACAACGACACAATTGAAATTCCTCAAAATATTATTGGGACAGGAGAATTGATCACTTCAATCTTCGGCGAAAGCATTAATGAACTGTCTGTTGAGGAATTAGCAAAACGCATAATACTTTCTCCAACCAATGAGCAAACCCTTGAAATAAACAGGAAGATTATCGATCTGTTGCCCGGTGTCCCATCCATATACTACAGTGCTGATTCTGTTTCCTCAAAGGACCCCAGTGATGAACTCAACTATCCGGTTGAATTTCTGAATAATCAGACACCATCAGGAATGCCACCCCATGTCCTGTTATTAAAGAAGGGAGTGATCATCATGCTGCTTCAAAATTTGAATCCGAAAAAAGGATTGTGTAACGGGACCAGGCTTATCGTCCGGGAATTACAAAGAAATTTCATCACTGCGGAAATTATATCGGAATGCAATCGAGGAGATATTGTTTTTCTTCCCAGGATTGATTTGGCTCCGTCGGATACTACACTTCCATTCGTCCTGAAGCAAAGACAGTTCCCTGTTACTCCTGCTTATGCAATCACCATCAATAAATCTCAAGGACAGTCGTACGATCACGTTGGGATAAACCTTAGGACCCCTGTCTTCTCACACGGACAGTTATATGTTGCCTTATCAAGGTGCAGGAATCCAGATCAAATAAGAGTGTTTATTCAGAGACAAGCACAACAAGGAAATCTTCTAAATAATGATCGTCAATTTACCAGAAATGTTGTATTTAGAGAAATCTTTCAATAATCTATTTAATTTTATTGTTATTTTCCGTATTATAGTATTGTTTCGCAGAGTAATTCATGATTACACATTAATATATATATAAGAAGCTGACCACACAGGAGTCCAGGATTCAGTAATCTATTTAGCTGTATTCGTATCCTTATAAGTATGTAAATGTGTCATATTTTGATAATTAATTTTGTTAATAAAGTTTTGGGTTTTTGTTAATAATACACCAGTTGACGGATTAAACGTTAGACACTTGCTTATATTTTAATTGCATCCAGCCCGATCCAGTTATAAATGTGTAAGAATTTATCTAATACTTCCAAATATTAGAAATACCAAATATCTTTCTCGCATGGTGATAGCTACTCTGCTCATTTCCGTTTTTTCACAGACATTATCCAATGCTTAGTATTAAGGTGTATGTATCAGTACAGTTAGTCATATAGTTGACTTGGTCTGGTTCTGGTCTCGACCAAACCAAAACCAAATCAAGACTACCTTCAGTATGGTCACCCATATAGTTGACTTGGTTTGGTTCTGGTCTCGACCAAACCAAAACCAAATCAAGACTACCTTCAGTATGGTCACCCATATAGTTGACTTGGTTTGCTCTTGGTCGCTATCAAACCAGAACCAAATCAAGACGGTCATCATTATAGTTCAGGATGTTGATTTTATCACGAATCAAATCAAATCAAATAGCATTGTGGATGGCTCGCAACGTATCTCTTCCATGTTCTGAAAAATGCATTAGAAGGATGCAGTAGAAAAATACTATGTGATACATGAACTGGACTAATATAGATGTTAGCGTTTATTGACGTGGGGCCACGGGCACCACAGAATCGCCTAGTATAATAATAATATTGCACCACCGTTATGGCGCATGCGAGAAATTAATTCTGCAATGTGATATTTAATAAAATGTACCCGTAAAATTACTTGTTTTCTTATTTTATGTGCGATATCAATTGCCGAACCTAAGAGTGTTTTTTTGAAAAAATATTTATTGAAGTATGGAAAGAGTAAATTATCAGGTCCAACTTGCAGTTCGACCTCCAGGAATTTCGAGTCCTCCTTGTTTACAACGATGCGTCGATTTCCCATTATTTTAAACATCTTCTCAGTATACTGAAAAATACTGCCAGGTATCAGCAAAGCAATCGTTTCATGAGTTCGTGAAGAATTTTCAAAAACAGTTGCGCTGACCATGTCTTCAACGGATTTGTTTCCCATCCACAGCAACTTTTGTTCAAATCGGGTTAGAAAGTTTAAATATTTTGTATCCCGATTCATATATTTGCGTAACTCGGGGATAATTTGATCCAAAAGGATTGATTCATGTTTACTTTTATTCGCATTATACACCTGATCCATCGCTACGACGGGAATATCCTAGTTGACGAGATCTTCAAACCCTCTCGGTGTCGGCGGGGGGAGGGGGACCGTAATGCAGGAATAAATCGTTCCCTGGTAAAAATTCAGCATGAGGACGAGATACCCAAACAGCCATATGGTTACGAGCAAAAGGGATATCTTCCTCGAACGGTATGCCTTTCGCGAAGATTCACCCACATTTCCAAGAAATATAAATGTTACAGTCATAACTTTGTCGATAAATGTGGTAGCAAAGTTCTGCGCATGCCTTGTCCCCCGACATTTTAGGAACGTCAAGAATTCCGCAACGGAAATTATGCTGATCAGGATGCAAATCCAAGTTGCAGGATCGAACGGCGACACGAAAGTCGTCACACTGCTAGCCGGAGATGACGGGTTGGTTACCGTTATAAATTTCATGGGGTCAAAGGTTACCGTATAAACAAATTCAGCCAATTTGGTTTCATTGATCATTTTAACAATTCCGAAGCCAAAACTTCTATCGCTAAGGAAAACTTTATCTACTCCCTTGAATTGGAGTAACGTTAAATTATACTTTTCCGCAATTGTGGCAGAAACGCAGAATTCCGGCTGCTTTAAATTGACAAAGCCCTTGCTGTCTACGCCACACTTTGCGTTTACCGGGTTACGGACATAGATTAAGAATTTGTGCATGTCCCTATTCAGAGAATCCCAAGCTTGCTTGATGTTTCCTAGTGAGACCTGCTGTAGATAATTTAGGGTATCTTGTGCACAGGTCAAGCAAGGTATGAAAATGGATGAGTTGACACCATTTCCAAACCCGATTAACCGCACACCTCTATTCAACTTGGCGGCTCGTTTGAAACAATTTATATCCCGGTAGGAAAAAATGTGACCGAAAATATATTCTTGTCGTAATACCCGGTCCGACATTTTGATTAAGTATTCACACTGTAATTCTCCAAAGATCTCATTGTAACCTGAAGTGACGTCTAGCGGTAAGAAAATTGCTTTCAGCCGTGCCGATTTCTCCGTCCCCCGATATCGAAAGATTTCCAAAGATTTACTTCCTTGTTGATGCTGAAGAGCAGATGTCGTTCGACAAAGAATAATACAGCGAATCGGTGTGTAAGGGTTATGTGCACTTACAGCCTCAAAATACTGAAAATTCCTACCTATTTCTAGTAAATTGGAGCAATCTGGTGTGAAAATGAACGTTATGTCGGCATCGAGAAATACACCACTCCAAATATTAAAATATTCCGCCTTAATTTTCAAGAGGAAAAATGACAACAAATAAATCCAGGAACTTGACATGATAAAGGTTAGGTAAAGTATTTAGTAGTCAAAATAAAGCTAAAGTGTTTAGGATTTCTTAATTAATATTTTTTTAAATAAAACTTGAACTCCTACCGTAATGTCAAATCAAAAACCAGAATAACTTTTTCTTGTTTATTGATTTTAAAATATTCTGCAGATCTCCCTTTTTGCATAACTTTTCAAAAAATGTTCAATAATTAATGATCCCAATATTTCAAAACTTAACCAGAGAATGTCGTGGAATACTAAACCACCAGGGAGAAGGCAAACAAATATTTACCTTGACAGTTATAAATAAATCTTATGCAAGAGGACATAATTCTGGAATATTCGGAATGTTTGTTGAATGAATAATTAATTTAATATGAAATACTTCTTTCATGTATAGTTTGCCAAGTTTCTCGATCGCCGACAAACACGAAATGCAAAATTTAAAATTAGACCAAGGGCTTTATGTAGATTAGGTTAAGTTAAGCAAAACCCAATATTTGCCATCTAAACTACAGAGTTGGGTTAATTACATACGCTGTCTGATTAATAATTACGAACTAATTAATTCAATGTGCTCAGTCCACATTTTTCATCATTAATCCTTACTAAATAAAAATTAATCCTCAATACTTTATCCACAAATGTAGTTAGTCCACTAATCCGAATATCAATAACTAGGCGATGCTGTGGTGCCCGTGGCACCACATCACTTATTAACCAAATACATATTTGTCCAGTTCAGTCCGTCCTTAACGCATCTATTCAAGTAACGGCCCTCAAAGCATCTACTCTATTAATTTAACAGGTAGCTGCAGCGACATCTTCCTGATTAACGTGTAATTGCTCGTAAATCCCCAATTTAGAGTGTGGGGATTTAGAGTGTGAGAGTGTGGGGTATGATCAGCGTCAGGCTTCCGCCGATGATCTGGCCTATGCATTTACTTTGCATTTACTATGCCAGAGCCCCGGCCCGAATCTGGCTCCGGCCGTCGATCGGACCGACGATCTGGCTGATAAGGTGAGCTTGCGCAGCCAGAGCCACGGCCAGACTCTGGCCCTGCCTGACGATCGGGCCGACGATCTGGCTGATAATCTGAGCTTGCGCAGCCATAGCCCCTGCAAGACCCTGGCTCTACTCGACGGTCGGGCCGACGATCTGGCTGGCGGTTGGGCCGACGATCGGGCCGACGATCTGGCTGGCGGTCGGGCCGGCGATCTGGCCGACGATCGGGCCGACGGTCTGGCCGACGATCTGGCCGACGATCTGGCCGACAATCTGGCCATGGGCAGCCAACACAGCAGAAACATCCCACATAGCGACAGAAGCGACGTGGTGCATGAATGACCCTTTTTTCTATCCTTTCAATGCTGAGCTACAGCATTGCAAGATGCGTTCCGACGGACAGAACTGGGTAAATATATAAGTTAATTAAATCTGTTCATTTCCTTTTCCTCATACACTCAATAGATTTTTTCTCTCCTAGCCGAGAAAAGGATAAAGTTTAAAAAAATAATTTATGCTTCAAATAATGCTGATAGATTCATAAATTGGACAATAAAATGTCAGATTGACGGAAAAAATATTGGTATACATTTCTTTTGTGACTAACAATGGTGGCTGTTTTTTAAGTACATCCTATCTGCAAAATTGAGTAGTTAGTAGATTAGTTGACATGCAAAAATTAAACAAAGGCATGATATATGTGCTAAGTTAATTTTTTCTGTGTGTAATAATAATTTTTATGGAAACTAGGTACCCTTCACCTCAATCAAAATAATATTACTCTCGGCGGTGTCTAAATATGCCTTCAGCGGATTTGTAGGAATCCATCACATATAAGTATAAATGTGTTGAAGCCACAATTATTACCAGAAAATTAATATAGTAAATATCCAACTAATATACTTACCTATAACTATATTACAATCTCACCCACATTCACCGACTGTGGACGAAAAGGGATCAATTTTTGGGTACCCAAAATCTCTCTTTGTAAATACATAGAAGTTCAAGGACTCTGAGATTCCCAAAATCCTTAATCTTCCCCACAGAGATTTGTGAGATACAAGTCCCAGAGTTGAATGAAGTACTTAAGTCCACATTCTGCAACCCTGACCTTCGTCACCTTCACCACGCACCCTCGCCTTTTATGCTTCGTCCCTCAGATCTCTCCAGCACAAGGGACACCTAAAACTTAAAATCAGTCCCACTCCTAGTTTCCCATTCTCCACAAAACCACTCGCAAAATCCATCCACAATATTTACAAACTAAACTAATATTACTAATATTTCTACGAAATGTTTCGATTTTTTAAACAAGCCGCTTCGATGAAGGCGAAAAATTCCTTGTTCCCTCCGGGGAAGAGGTTCGCCTCTATAATTTCCGACGGACGGGGGAAATGTGGCGAAAAATTTGACACGAGTTACAAGGTGTGTCTGGAGAATGAGAAATCCAACCAAAAAGTGAAGGACGTCACCATGGAGAACGTTCGGGGGTACGAGTTTCCCAAGGTTTGTCTCCGCTATGGGAGAGAGGACGCCATCCAGCACGCATTGGCAGGTGGGTGGCGCGAATTTTAAAATTTTAAAATTTCAAAACTTTATCGATTATTTGTCACAGTCGGCATTGACGAATCGTACCCAAACTGGGCGCACTATCTCGACCAGGGGAACAAATCGTTCCAAATTCTCCCCACTTTCCTGCTCCCCGTGGCAAACCAGATTTTGCTCGAGTTGTCCTGGCAATCGCAAATCATGCCGAACGAGAGGACCGTCCATGGCGAGATTTACATTAAAATGTTACAACCTCTCAAACCTGACGGCGAAATTTGTTTCGAATTGGAACTCGTCGATATTTTGGATAAGGGAAAGGGCACCAACTTCTGCTATAATTGTCAGTAAATATTTATTAATTCGCGATTTTTCCAGGTAAAATTTTCGCACTTTTTTTTAATTTCCCCAGTTCACGGGACGGATGCGACCGGCTGTAAAATATTTTTTATCGAATATCAAATATACGAAATTGGCGCTAGAAGGTACTCGTCCCCCGGTGCAGGGATGTCCACCCATCAGTCAAACATCGTACCACTCGTGTCCCCACCGCAGGGGAGGGAACCGGACGTGGTCCTCCCCTTCACGGCGGTGCCGTTCGATCCAAAATATTTTGAAACGGTCAAATCCCCGCCGAAAGACATGTCGCTATTTGCCACCAACTATCACAAGCAGTACTACGCGATTACCGACAAACTTCGCCCGGAGCCGAGATGCCATGGGCGCTACTATTTGGGCGCGGTGGTTCAAAATATCCTCAAATATTTTGGGGAGGGGGATGTCTCAAAGTTCAAAAGTGTGAAGGTTTGTTAACTTAATTATTTAAATGGTATGGTAGATTTCCATGGCGTAATGCCGGCTAATTCGTTGGGGTAGAAGAAATAATTTTTGGTTAGATTATTTTGTCAAATTAAATTTCAGACCCGCCTCTCCTACCCGGTTTCTCCAGGGGAGACCATTTTGACCAAGGCGTGGCACCTCGGTGAGAGAATCCACTTTGAAACTTTTTCCAAAAACAATGGAAAGTGCGTTTTGAAGGGTAAATTTATAGTCTTTTGAGATGTGGAGAGATTAGCAAATAACTTATGCTCATTCTTTCTTCCAGCATCGTACATTGATCTGGCCTAAATTATGGATTTTATAGTTTGATTTCCGCTCTCATTCAAAATTTAATAATCTGTAATTAATAAAACCCTTAACCTTTAAGTTCCATGAAAACTTAAAAATTAATTTGTATAAATAAATTCAACCTTTGAATTTCGTCTAAGTATTCTACCATTTGTACGTGTCAGCGATTTAACAAGATTTAGTTAAAAATAAGTAGCGGCAGATTCAACTTGTACTCAGGTTGATGAGAAATAATCAGAAATTTTAAATTGTAATTAAACTATAGCTAACAATGCAAAGGTGTCAGCGGCTACGCTAAGATTTGAATCGGACAATTTTATTTTGTTCGTCACCAGAAATAAGCGGACCCGTTTTTTTATTTTTTTGTGACTGCACCAAGTTAAGCGCGTGGCGGGAATTTGAAATATTTTTCAAGCTTTTTCCAAAAACTTCTCATAATTGCTACGGCGCCAAATCTTTTGTGGATAATACATACATACATAAGTACTAGATTCCTCCTTTATTTGTATACGTGGATTTCGAGCTAGATCGAATTTCTATATTATCCTTAATAAGAATCCCGAAACTTTTTTGACTTCAATTTCATAGGCACGAAACTGACATGCAACGAATTCATTTTAAAATTTATCAATGAGCCCACTTTCGTTTGTACTATAACTTTTGCAGTGACCATATACTGGTTCTGAATAAGAGTAAGGGTTTCCCACATTTCTTTGAAAAAGTTTATTTTTAGCTTAACGGAGAAGGGTAAACTTTTGCTTGACAAACCAATACCAACAAAGAATCCTTGTCAGGAAATATTTTCTCTGTATTTGGTAGAAATGACCCTTCTAAGGGATTCCCACGGTGATTGAAGGCTGGATTGAAGGTCTCCTTCAAATATTTGTATCTACTTAGGAAAATTATAATGTGGCAGGAAAACCAGTACGCGTGAAAAAGTCGTCCTAGCTAGAGTTTAAGTTGTGCATAATTCTTACCAGCTAAGATAAATTTAGTCAGGAAGTTTGCAGACAGTGTTGCAAGTGGTATAAACCAATTTTTACCGGACAGTGGGAAAAAATGGGGAAAAGGCAATTTTTACCACCCACTTAAAATGAGTGGGAAATGGGAAAAATGGGAAAAAGTGGGAAAAATTCTGTTTTGGGGCGATTTGAAACAACTTCTTCAAAAGTTAGTATTTCAAAAATCTACCTTCATATTCGTATTCTCCATGAAATTCTGAGAAAATAAGTTGGTAATACGGTTGAAATTGAATAATCTTTAAAATTAACATGCATTCATATGGGGAAATAAAATTTTTTATTTATTTGAGCAAAAATGGTCATATAATACACCAAAATGCTCAGAATTTTATGGAGATCACAAATATGAAGTCAGATTTCGGAAATATTGATTTTAAAGAAAGTTAGTTTTCTCCATAACTAAATACATGGGAAATAATTTTTCCCAATTTTGGACGGTCAAAATCAATTTTTCCCAATTTTTCCCAATTTTTCCCAATTTTTTACATTTACCATGGGAAAAATTCTGCTGGGTGGGAAATATGCAACACTGTTTGCAGATAATTAAATTGAAGTAATATTCAGCTAAAAAATTATTCCAATCCCAAACTTTTGACAATATTTAAGGCAATATTGTGACACCAATTTAAATATTATGGACATTTTTTTTGAAATTCAGGCAAACGACGTTAAGATTTGTACCATGGCACCTAGTAAGACAATTGATTGGACAAGTTTGCCAGAATTGGTAAATGTTAACAATTCTTGAATAATTATAGGATAATTTAAAAGATGGGAACTTTACAATTTATCTTTTTTTCTTAGGTGAAAATTAATGTGCTGCGTTATTTGGATGGCAAATCAATTATGCAGCTTCTGCCCGTGTCCAGGGAGATGTATCGATTGATAGCTAATTGCAAAAATGCGGTGGGGAAGATGCAAATTCGCATAAATGAGATTGCCGACATTGCAAAAATTAAGGATGGTTCGTCCTTACCGTGGTCGAATTTTCTTATTATTGCGGAAAGTTGTGACCACCTGAAAAATTTACTGAAAGCGCTGCAAAAAACCGTTGGGGCAGGGGAAATTAAAAAATTAGAATTAGCACAAAGATCCAGATGCACAGTGGAAATTACGGCGAATGAGTTGGACAGGATCCTTAGTCCTGTGACGAACTTGGAAGTCTTAATTTCAAAAATTTTTGGAAATTGGGATGTCGAACTTGCAGTAGAAATTCCGGGAAGGCTGTACAATCTAAGGGTTCTGGAAATTATCTCGGCTCACGAGTTTGACCAGGTTTTGAAAGCAGCGCCAAATTTGAGGTGGTTGTCCATTTGGACGTGCGAATAGTAAGGGATTTATGTACATATGTAAAGCGAGGAAAAGTATTTATGAATTTTCTAACTTTTGTGAATTTTTCATATATTTTTGCAGCATCTTAGGTTCCAACTCGATAAATTTTAGACGATTCTGTCCAATTTTCCCCCCACTCAAGGATTATGTGACAGCAAGATTTTACAATTCGCGGCGAGATACTCGAAAATTTTCCATCGAGTTTAAGCAAGAGAGATCAAGTGTCCCCGAAAAATTTTGCGGAACTTTCATGTATGAGGATGAAATTTATGCCTTGTACAGAATCTGCGGTCCCGTCGGTGTTGGAATTTTTAACGTTAAAGCGCGTTGGTTTTGGAGCGCGAGTTCAAATTTGTATCAAAACAAGGAAATATTGGGTGCGATAAGATCCATCCGGGTGGGAAAGTGCGGTCAGGATCAGCTTTTTCTAAACTTCGTTGAAAAGTTCGACGCCTTTCCAAACCTTGAGGAAGTTTCTGTGCCCATGAGGGGGACGGAGGGGAAAGAGAAATTTCTAGAAATCTTGAAAAAATTGGAAATGAAGGGATTAAAAATTTCTCGATTTTTTTGAGCCGAATTTATTACATATCCAGGCAGGCAAAATTTGTGTTTCAAGCTTTGCATACTTTTAATGATACTTCACAAGTCCTCAGCCAGGACGCATGGATAGAGATGTCATAATGTTAATTTGACTGCGGATTTTAAAACTTGTATTATAGCAAATATGAAAATCATTGAATAAAACATTGAAAAGCCTACGATGGTTTAAAAATTTAGAAATTCTGTACAGAATAAACATGTTTTCTTCCTCGTAAAATCTAATCTGTTCTTGTGCATTTTTCTAGACATTTTCTTTGCAAATGTTTATTTGAAACTCGGCTCAAATGGTCAACTTTTCGTTGAAGGTCCAAACAAAGAATAATTGTTTGTACTTAACACTTTTCTCTGGATTTGTCCGACAGGTCCTTAATTTGATTCTACATGGTTTAAAGGCTTCGTAAAATATTTTGAGTATATTTGTTAAGAAAAAAATGGTCAGATTCACAGTCTGGTGAACAAGTCTTCTTCGTCAGATTATGTTGTCATTATCGACAATCCGAAAACCTTTTTTGTCCGCCTTGTCAATGAATAAACCTTGCCTGTCTCAAAGTATATTTCTTTTTCCCTAGGGCATCTCATTTAATTTATTTTATTTCAGTCCTAAGAATTATTTCCATGTTCCCCCCTTAATCCAAAAACTGAAAGGGTAATAACCTCCATTATATTCTTAAGGCGTTCTAATGATCCCAGGTAACTAACCTTTTAACCATGTTCAACTTGACCCTTCTCAGAATCCATAGTCATAATTCCTAAAATATAACTTGCGTATAAGGATACAGATAAATATGTACACAAAAAAACATTCTCGTGAAAATACCACTCATTCCATTTTTTAACAAGTGTCAGCATTACTGGTTTATATTCATCCAACTAAGAAAATTTTAAATTTGTTTGTCAATTTCCTAAAACACTTTACAGATTACGAAATACTCGCAACTATTCCTTCCCCAATTCAACCAAATCAGTGAATAGACATGGAGCCTGACTCTATTCAAAATTCCCTCTCCGTCCTGACAAATCCAATCGTAAGAAATTGAAAATACCCCACCCACTTATAAAATACGATTTCATAACAAAATTCTTCTGTTTCTGGTCCAGAAACTGGTCATATAATTTATAATTTCGCCACCCAACTATGTATCGTAAAAAACTTTATAAACTATGCATACATTTTATTATAGATTAATCCAAATATTTTTTATATATTTTAGATTCTCTCAAACATTTTTCTCCATTTGGACACCCATTGCGTCAAGTCGTTCCGAACAGTGTCCTCCACTTGGTACAGCATATCATCCACTGAACTAGGAACGAGAAAAGTTTTACAAATCTACCTATTATCAATGGAGGAGATTCAAAAAATTAACCCCGCCCTTATCAAACGAATCTCTATCCGACGCTGCGACCCCGGCCAATTTAAAACCTTCGCGTGGGCCGGCTCAACTTGAGGAAGACAAATTAGAGAAATCCACATCGACATGGATCCCCAAATTTGGCCAGAATTCGTTCAAATCTTGAAGGCCGACAGACTCCCAAATTTAGGAAAGTTAGCCATATCAAAAGTATCTGATACCTCGTCTTTTACCGATTTTGGGTTAATTTCCCTCAAAAACCTCAAATTATTGAAGATCCATCAGGGTGTCATTAGTTTTGAGCATGGAAAACAAAACTTGCAAACAATTATCGATTCTGCGGCTGAGCTAAGGACATTACGAATCACTGGATCCTTTTTCCCAGATCTGGAAAAGTGTTCGAAAAATCTAAAAACCTTTGAATGGTTTGACTATCCTGGAAATGGCCGGTAAGTAGGGTTCAGGGGCAAACCTATTGGGTTAAGGGGTGGTCCATGGTTGACCAGCCTTCCATGGAGGCAAACTCAAACGGCAGAAATTGTGCGGGTTGGCAAAAATTTTTATTATTGTCCCTACCTAGAAAGCATCTCTTTGAACACCCCGGCTAAACTAACTGTCATAACCAACAGCTCGTCCTAATTTTTAGCCCGAGTCTGGGCTTATGGAATCATCATAGGTGTCTGTCCGTCTGACGATAACTCAAGAACGCGTTAACCGATTTGGCTGAAATTTGGCAGAAACATGTATCTGGGCAATGCAACGACCGAGTTCGAAGATGGGTTTGATCAAAAAAGATTTGGACCGGTGGGGGTCATTATAGGGGTTTGGGTCAATTTGGTGCAGAATATTCGAAATAGTCATAGAAGGCTGGAATTCGGTATAATAGTCCTAATGGAAGTATAGACTCAGAAAATGAAGTTATAATTGAAAAATTTTGAAATTATCGGACCCTGTTGGGTGACCTCCACTGATTTTTAAATTTTGTCCTAGAAGGCTGAAATTCAGCATGACCTTTCCAATCGGGATAAAAACTCGGAAAATGAAATAAAAATTGAAAAAAATTCATGCAATGGGACCGGGTGGGGTGACCTATTGTCCAAGAAGGCTGAAATTCGGCATGTCGGTACCAATCGGGGTAAAAACTTGGCAAATCATATTAAAATTGAAAAATTTGCAGTGACATATAATCGGAGAGCTTAGCAGAACCTGATCTTATCATAAAGTATGATCCGAACCTGACTCGGGCTAAATTAGGCTGCGCTGGAGGTTTTTTAAATTTTAACAAATCTGTTATACCATACAGAATCCAAATTTGGGACCTATTCTGTCCCCTCTTGAACCAAGTTTCGCCCACATTGGAACACTTAACTTTCGGGATTATGTCCCCAACCCGTCAAGGATACCAAACTCAAAATCTCATCACACAGTTCCCACCATTCCCTAACCTCAAATCCCTAAAGAATTTGGCCACTGACGTTTTCCAAATCGATAAATTCCTAATTTTCAAAAACTTTCCTAAATTGGTCAACATTTCGCTGGAGCGGTTTGACGTGACGAGTGAACACCTTTGGCAGAATGGTATACAGGGGCCACCTGTCCAATGTGGGGAACGACATGAAGGTAATAAAATATACTTCGTCTCCTGAAATCTAATTAACAACGCTTCTTTTAATAAAATTTAAAAAAACTTAATAAATTTTATGAATGAATACTTCCAGGCGTTTTAAAACTCCAAGTTGGAAACATTTGCGATCTCATACTTACTTCCCAACCCAGAACAAAATTTCCGAACGTGACCCATCTAATCTTCAGGATAATAGGGCCCTCTAGGTTCTGGCATGATAAAAATTTGGGTGGGACTGCCTACCTTGTCAAGGTGATTGAGGCTGCGGCGACATGGAAATATTTAACCCACTTCGACATCTTGATTGGTGGCGCGAAATTCAATTTAAGGGAAATATTGGAAGCGCTGCAATCTTTAGATGTAAATTCTGGTAAGTTTAATTTTTCTTCGTAAAATTTTTAGCATGGCTCTAAAATCTCGACACAAGCTTTGGAAGGAAAACTGCGAAAAACTAATTAAAAACTCATTAATCTAATTAATATATCTAATTTGCTTATCTAATCTCTATATTTTGAGTAGTGTTTCGTTTCTTGCGGGTTCACCGCATTTCTTTGCATTGCAAAGCAAAGAACGAAAGAAGGTGCAAAAAATAGGACGCCATCTAGCGACCCGCCCGATCAAGTATAGTGGTGGGAAGAGTTTATTGCACCTTTGCGTTTCTTGCGGGTAAAAAAGGTGAAAAAAACCCACTTTCTTGCAGTTGTTTCTTGCACCATAAACACTGATTTTGAGAAGTATTGCATATTTCCCGTCCGAAACACTCTTTCCTACTGGGAAATTGAAGAAAATGCAGGGGCGCCTTCCAAGGTAATCTGCATAAGAAATAAATTTTTTCCCATACATTTTAGCACTTTTTCCAAGATTCCCGCTCTCAAGTATAAAGTGGATTATACCACTTTCTAAACTGTATCTACCATTCACATTTACAATGCAGTTGCTTAAAATTAATCAGGATTATATACCTAAGTAATTTTATCATAATTAAATTATTGTTCCTAGGCCTCTCAGAATTGAAAATTGGAGGCCTGCACCTGTCCAACGAACGGACCGTCTGTGACAATTTGTCCTGTGATGTTCAAAAATTGACAGATTTCATCGCCAAGTGTGGGCCCCTTAAGCGATTAACATTTCAAGGCATCTTGGTATGTTACTTATTCATTAGGATACCTGTTCGCACTTAATAAAATTTATGAATGAATAATTCATTGAATAAATGAAGAATTAATGAATAATTTCTTACTCATTAATATTTTTCTATACTTAATCCTTACTCGGGTAAATATTTAATTTATTTATCATATGAGTAAATTATTACTTAGGAATATAAATATGTAACATTAAATCTAATTATTTAACTATTTAATTTTCTAATTATCTATTTATTCAAAAAACTTTTAACTTAATTTTTCTTATCAAACGTTTCCATTTGATAATCCCTAGTGGCAGCCTGGATCTGTCGGACGAGTGCTGGAATTCCTAGCAGGGAGAAACACTTTGCATCCGGTCGTAATCTTGGAGTAATAAAAGTCGTCTTGCCCAAATTCAAACAATTTCTAAACAAATATTCCTTTATCTCATCAATGTGCTACGCAAATCAATAGACAGCGACATATTCACGATAAATCTTGTGTCAAGTAAATATTTTTACAAATAAATTATTACAATTTCTCATCACGTTTAGTTTAATACTTCACAAATCCAAACAGATATTTTCAATTATTTATGTAGTTGAGCAAAACCACCATTTGTAAATTATTACCAATTTATTGATCAGAGGAGATTTTTCCTTAATCATTATTTGAAGATGGAAGTAAGACGATCTAATCAAGATTGCAACTTGCCTCATTTCACGTTTAGAATAAAATTAATTATGACGTGACAAAAAATTATTTTGTAAATATTTAATAAATTTTATTCCTAATCACTATTAAATCCAAAATTAATTTTAATGTAATTTTTATTATCTAAAAAATTAATTGTATCCATCTCTTCAATCATTTACCTTCGATACAAAACTTGCTAATTTTTTATCTCAACAATTACCCATTCTCATTTTTTATTTCTTGATTACAAAAAAATTACACCTTCCCAACCTTCACGGCTGTGCTTTTGTATCTCCACTTTTATTAATAACTCGTCATCCCAAGACACCAATCCTTCACTCCTGACCAACTTTTCCCCCTATTCAAAAAAAAACTTCTGTCCAAAATAAATAAACCCCAGCTTAGGCAGATATTCGCAAATACTTTGTTGTCTTATTAAGATTGCGTAATTCGCAACCATCACCATCCACGTAGGGGTCTTCAGTGCAGAAATCGCAAAGTGGGTCAATAGTGAAGATGTTTTTTCCTTTTATTGCACGATTCAGCCATTAAACTTGATGATTACGTTCATTATCACTTTACTTCACTACTATTAGCACCACACTTGCCAAGTTTTTTGCGAAGGGGCTGTACACTTGGGGTGTGCCAAATTGGAGGAAATTTTTGCAAAAATATTTCATCAAGAGGAATTAAATAGATCATAATAGGAGAGGAAATACTCCATGGATAAAAATGAGCCAAATATTTTGCACATCACTTGTGTACAGGGTGTGCAGAAGTGTTATTGTCAAAATATAATCCTACTCACTCACTTAAGGCACCCTCTCGCTTCTTCCCCTTCACTTTACTGCCAGCTAATTGAGAATAGCAGGGTTTCTAGAAAAATGTGTAACTTTGTTCAAACAACTTTTACAAAAAATAAGAGGTTGATGCTCTCTGTTTTTTTGTGAACTTATCGATGGTATGCAATATATGTTGCAATTAAACTAGTTTAAGATTGCAGTGTTCTCTAGAAATTTAATATGCAAGACTATGTAAATATGCCAAATTGTGTGCTCTTGCTCTGAATTTTGTGCATGATTTTTTGGGCTTTATTGCAGAAAATTTAATAAAACAAATACACAGCCCCAAATAACATATTTTTACCTACGACACCCTGTAGACAACGGAATGCTTAAACATATTTCTGTCCATCATCCCGTCAAGCTAAAAAAAAATGCATTTGTGAATGCATTGGGATCCCTGTTTCTCCAAATTGTGCAATTCCCAAGAAGTGACGAATCCACAAATTTATCTCGCACTCAGAATGAAATTGGTCATAATGGAATTGAACATCACTCCGGCTTGGTGAGAGACAGAGTGGAGTAGAAGTTAAGTTGCAAAAATAATTTTGGGAGCATTCCCATAGTTGCGGAAAAAATGTCCAAAACGGGATTCCTGCTCTCCCTTTGTTGCATAATCCTTGTCATCGAAGGGCAACGCCAACTTGCTCAACCGGACCCGAGATCGTGTGTCAATCGTGAGAAAATATTATTTTTTATAAATAAATTTCCTGGAATTTAGTAAACTATGTAACTTTTTTTGGAACTTGTAAGGTAGAAGTTTTTAGAAACAATTCGCCGAAACGTGCCGAAATTTAGGATTGCGTTTGCAATACTAAATTTTACTACGGGGACGGGGTCAAATGGCACGATGTGGCTTGTCAGCACTTAAAGTCTTTCGTGTGCGAAGATTCCGACGAACTCCTCAATTTTGTAAGGTCCAGGAATCGTGGGCTCAGACTGTAACTTAATCTACATGGACAACTTTTACTCGATATTTCAAAAAATCTAAATTTCATGTCCATCTTTTTATTTTTTCAAGTCTTTTATAAATAAGTTCCTACAATTGTGCACTTCGGAAATCTAAAGTAAATAGTCAATAGTATAGAATTCTGTTTATTCATCGGTTAATTTGTTTGGCGTAAACTAATCAATAAATTATAATTTGTCAAAATCCTTGTGATACATATTTTTCACAAGTGTAAGATTCTTCCCATAAATAGCCAAAAACACTGGTGGAACCGAATACAAAAATTCAATGCACATATTTTAAATAACTGAATAAGTTAACATTTGGTATTTAGTTTAGATTTGAATTTTTCGCTAAACCCAATTCTCACAGAATCAAGATTGAGTGTAGGACTATTGGATTAAGGATGTGGCACCAAAAAAGGGTATTTCTTCGAAAAGAAAGAAAACGCTCCAAATGTCCCTCAAGCTCGTCCCATTGAACTGTTTTTAGCATCCCGTACAAAAATAATCGTGTCTATTCCTGCAGAGTTAGACAGCCTGACCTTGCAGAATAATTCCTGCAGAATATTTCTGTCGTTCTCTGCATAAAAATTGTGTCGACCTGGTTCGACAAACAGTATTCTGCAGACTTCGACAAGAATTTTATACATGACACTTCCTGCAGATAGTTGTTTGTCTATTCCTGCGTTGCTTTGATGTCGAGTGTTTTATGCATAAATTCTCCTGGCGTATTATAACTAATTAATTAAGAGAATGATTTGTGGCGCTGTTGCCCGCAGATTCGGGCAAGTCATTATGTACGGAGCAAAATTAATAGCAACAACAAATACTGAAATAAATTTGCAACACTGCTTTATTCCAACTCTACTGAGTTAACAAGTTTTGTAACATTAATTAATTTACCCGACTGGTTGAAGTGGCCAATATATTTTTTTGGTACAATATTTTCAGCTGATATTATCCTAACGTGATCACTAATTCCAACAACTTTTGAAGACATGGTGGAATATTTTTCTTCTGAAATTGTCAACCTCCTAACGAAAACGAGCACTTCCATTGAACCACTGATATAAATAATTCTTTCTATGATATACAAATTTCCACTAATATTTGCAACTGAATTTACTCGTTTACTTGTATCTCTTTGTGCGTTGTTGTATACCTTACCAAAAATAATGAATGATTTGAAACTCTGCCCCTCTGATGTGTTATAACCTAGCTTTACAAGTTTTTTCTTTTCATATGAACTGAATATATAAAGTTTTCGGGCCCCTAATAGCGTACAATTTCCAACTAAAATTGATTTGAAATAGAACCGTCTGTTCTCCATAAGGGACTGAAAGAAGTTGGCAGCATTTATATTTATGAATGAAATTTCTCCTAGCGAAGCAACCTTATGATCTGTAGTAATTTTTCTCGCAATTTGCAAACCTACATTTTGGGAGCCAGCAAAACTCTTACAAAGTACCCCATTGAAGTTTTCGAATTGGAACAAAGAATATGCCCACAATGGGCCCCAGTTTTCAACACAATCTGCTGCATGACTTAACAGATGCATATTGAATGTGCAAAAAGAGATACCATACAAATTTGGTACTAATTCATTAAATTTGAGTATCAGTTCCCTTGCGTTGATAATGTCTTCGTGTTTGACTTGGTCTTGGGAAAGAAGACAGACGGCAGTAACAAGTTTCCCGAAATGTTTCCTATAGCAGTTAGGTAATATTCCATGCAAAATAGGCACAGAAATTAGCATCCAAGTTTTCCATTCACTGGCTTTCCAATACTTGACGTCCTTAAGTCCACGTAATGTTCGTCTACAGTCAAGTGGAACTTTGCACAATTTAATCCTCATGTTAATTTCTTCTGATCGATTTCCAATATAAAACTGTTCATTGTGTTGCTTCGAGTCCAACCACGCCAGTGTTAGCGTTCTAACAACACCCAGCAAACACGTATGCATATAATCGAATGTAAATCCTTGGACTATATCAAATTTTAGAATTAGCAAAAGCTTTGAAGCTCCTTTTACACCAAACACTGTGGATACAGAAGTCCCATTTTCTAGTTGTTCTTGAAGACTCCGCAGATGATTAGTGAATTGAGTATGACTGCGCTTGATTGCTTTTTCTGTAGGATCGAAAATCCATTTATGGCTTCGTTCACTGAGGTGATAAGTTTCCCCTTTAGCTAAGCACCAAGGACAACTGTATTCTCCGTTGAATTGGTTTATAAATTGTATTTGACATCTGGCCACAGAAACGGCAGAAAACATAGTAAAAAAGACTTTACTTCTATACACCTTGTTATCAGTTTTCCATTCAATTCCAAATTCGGCTAACTCTTGACTCTGATCAACCAGTGGTCCCAGAAAGGTGTCAAAGTTGGGTTTTTTGGTTCCAAACCAAAGTCCAGCCAGCAGAGTATTTTTCCTTCGGAGAGGATAATCCAATTCGTTGATAGAGATCAGTAGTGGCCATATTGAAAATTGGGACGACTTAAAAATTGCAATTCCATCTGAATTCATTGAGCAGGTTATATCTGATGGTTTAAGTCCAAGCCTTTTATATAAGTTTCCGTCTGTGATATCGTGAATGTCAGCATTGCAAGGATTTGACCGTCGATTTATATTTTTCAAAAGTGATCTCTGGACTTCAACTTTCTGCAAAAGATTCTCCATTAGGTTTTTAATTTTGAAAGACACAAAAAACCGTCCGTTTTTTACAAGTTGGTTTGGCTCGAGGACAGTCTGGCATGATTTGCATTGTTCCGAATTGCCCTCAACTAAAGATTCACATTGTTCACAGTAGATATTTTTAGTTGCAGAACCAAAATCTAAACCGATCGATTTATCTAGCAGGTAGGTACATGAAGGTATTGTTGCTCCAAATGGCAGATGAAAATTGATAAGACTGAGGAGGTCATTCATGGCAGATTTTGTTAATTTATGGCGAATTGCAAAGGCGAATATTAATAAACAACTTTCTCTAGATGTGACTTTTGCTGTCGGATATAGTAGATTTGCCAGATCTTCCTATTACAAAGTGCATTGTTAATTGAATATTTAGGAACATGACGTGCGGAAATGGGTGACTCACAGGTATTGTGTCCTCGTCACTTGACTCGAGAAAGCTGCTTTCGTCATCGCTTATATTTGGTTGACTTTCGTCCTCGTTCTGCGGTTAAATTTAAGTAAGAATTATATTTCGTAATTATAAATTATAAGTCGTAGGATATGTACACACCAGATTCTGTTCGAAATTAGTAGAATTTTCATCATATCCAGCGTCAATACTGTCATCAAGGGCTTCATCGTCAAGTCCTCGAGTCTCTGCGCCATCGTTATCATGCTGTGAAGCGGACGTAATTAAAGACCTTCTTGAGGTCTGGGAGGCAGGAACAAATTATTCGAATGATTATTGTTATATTTGAGATTATAACTACGTTTGACTTTTTCTTACCATGCACATCACTCTTGCTCTCGTTCTTCTAGGAACTGTCGTGGAATATTCGCCACCAGGTGATCGAAAATAATTCTTGTAAGATTTTCGACCCGACATAATAACAATTATAAAGTTGATAAAGGCTTAAAAAAAAAGGCTTAAAAAAAAAAATAAATAAAAAAAAAATTCTGAGTAAAATTTTCTTAGTCAACCGAATAGCAAAGAATATATTACTTCACCCCGCTCAGCACTAAATCTTGCGATGCAGAAGTGGTGGGTAATTTAACTGCAAGCCCTACGTGAAAACAGTCATAAATTCCCTTAAAACTCACGCTTTTAAAGAAAAAGTTGTGTTTTAATTAAACAAATAATAAAACTATGGATTACTTACTAATTGAGTGGGTAGATGAAGACCCAAAAACGTTTTCTGTCGTGTCAATCGACCAGTTAGCTGATGGTGGTTTGAGATCAAGCGGAAGGAAACTAATTGGGAAGACCGAATCAATTATTTGGACACGAGGAAAAGAGTTTTTAGGGAGGATACTAAATATTGGTAAGTAATGTGATCTATTTATAGTATTTTTACGAAATAAACTAAGTAATTTAAATAATTATTTAAAATAATACTGTATTAAGGCGGATGCGATGAGCTAACAGTAGAAGCAGATGAGCGAGCAGCTCAGGTCAGTGACGACGAAAGGTTACAAAAGGTCGAGCCAACTAGAAAGCGTTCTAATATTTCCGTGGATGTACCTCTAAGTAAGACAATTTTGAAAATAGGTTGCATTTACAGTTGTTGCATTATTCAGCGTCGTACGATATAAATGTTTGCATGTTTTAACAGAGAAGCAGAAATCTCGCAGAAATGAATCATCGGACCGAAGCCGAAGGATAGGTGATATCCTATCCCATATCGACTCTTCAACTATCGAGGGCATTCTAGCAGATGACAGTAACCAACATAATTTGGAAGGTGAACAGGAAGAATCGAATGAAACGACCGAAACGAATGAATACAAAGGTGTTTAATATCAATACCATAGCAAATATAGGATTTTAATGGTTAATTATACGTTGTTTTTCAGGAAAATATAGATCCCTGAGAACTAAATATCGAGAGTTAAAGAGAAAGTATAAGGAACTTCTCAACAAAACCAACGAGACGGCAGATGTAAGTGTGATAGATAGATTAATTGATTGAAAAGCTACGATTATTCAACTTTGGTTGTTAAAATTTATAAATAATTTGCCGGCTCGGTTCTCAGGTTGAGCTGTACGAAGGAACTGGACTAAAGATGAACGTAGCTGAACTTGCATCCATCAAAATGATGTCGTCACAGTCATCATCGGTTTTGGCCCGAAACCTCTTCAGAAGACTTTTTAGTGCAGAGGAACTTACGGGCCATTCGTTGTATGGAAAGAAATGCAATGCTAATGCCACTCTCCCGTTACCAGAAATAGACCCCGCTCGTCGAGATGCAGTAATTGGTAAGCGATGAATGAAATTTAAAAAAATGCAATTTTGTACCAGTTGAGTTTTTATTTGTGATGATTTGTTTACAGGCTACATTATTAAGGAAGATGGATTCGATACGCCACCCCCCGCTGGAATCAGCATAGCAGAACGCAAATCGCTTTCAAAAGTCAGGAAGCGCTTTAAGAGGGACATAACAAAATCACTTTCCGATTTTCTTCGCGAGGAATCCCGAAAGTTTCAAAATGCCACGTAAATTCTCACAAAATTAATACTTGATGAATAGTATGTTATTTAATTATAACAATAATAAAATGAAATTTAATTTTGGAGAACTCAATTCAGCATTATTCTACAATATTTTTGTGCATACATAACACATACATACATAACACATCCTGCAGGAATTTGGGCTTATCATCCTGCATAAAACATCCTGCAGAGCTCATTCTGCATAAAAATTTATGCAGAAAGTTTTATGCACAAATGTTTCTTCAGTGAATAGGGCCAATTTGCGGCACAAACTTTGTGCAGAAATCGACACGAATTTTCTTCAGGAATTATACGATTTTTTTCGTACGGGATATTACTCAAGAGGGAAGACTCCAAAGGGACAAAACCACCCAAAGGATTGAAAGGATTTCCAATGGTCATCACGAATCTGATAAAGAAAGTCGTGGAAAACAGTGGCGCTGCTCTCATGGCGAGCTTGCGGCAAAAGGTACGGTCAGTTAGAGACGGTAGAGACGGAGTTTTTGGTCCCGTAATGGATTAAAATCATTAGGTAAGAGTGTGATGAACATCATATATAAAAACTATTAAATTTAATTCAGTAATACATTTGTTACAAGCTAAAACCACGCGGGGTCTTTCATTAGTGTCATATCCTACACTGATTCTTTTACTACGTATCTAAATATAATTTTTGGTAATTTGTAGCAAATCTTAAGTATACATAATATGGTAAAGATATGTGTAAAATGTATATGTATGGTTAACAATATATATATTTTAACAATATTCTACTTTTAAATTAAAGACAACATACTTGCTGAGTTAAATTAACCTCGTGGATTTTACTGCTAAACATATTTATATAATGGCATAAATAATTAAGTACATCACCTTAAAATGTCAACAACAAGTTTATTGAGTAATTCACAATGTTCCACAAGATCGCCACCATCCATGACTGTGTCGCATGTCCGAATGGACCAATTGCAATGCCCACTGCATTAACTGATCGAAACACTCTCAATTCATATTTCGAGAAGCACCTCCACTTCAAAACTCCAAGTAACTTTAGTGACGATTCCCACACCTGTGTCGCAGGAGGGAGGATCGTCATTAACAAAATAAATCCCACCGAACTTGTCACAGGCACCAACCAAAAAACTGAAAGAGGAAGCCTGCCTGGAAACCTGATGGTCGCATAGTTACAAAAAACTAGGGTACACATGCCAAAAAATGTTATCGGCGGTCCAGCTAAATAACAGTAATTTTGGTTCACGTAACGATTCCAGATTTGCAATTCCTTATACACTTTTAGAACTAGAATTGGCGAAGTATCCCACTTTTCCGAGACTTTCTTCCATCGCGCAATTATTTGAATCGATCCTTGTAGAATTATTGGCGAAACGGTGATTAGTCCGCATACTGCTGTCACCGCTACTGCACATAGCCACGTATAAATGATTATTTGTAGCGGAAATAAAATATAAAATGAATCCTGGAAAATTCTAGTTTCACGGAGGACATACAACGGGTCTATATCCAGCCAGACAAAACTTGTTACAAGAATTAGAGGAATTAGGATGCAGGTTTTAACAAATATGTGAATCACTCTTTCAACGACCTTATTGGTGGGAACGGCGTCCCTAATTTTTCCAAGGGCTACGGAATAAGCATAAAAAGTATACAAGTTAAAGATATATGCATTTCTTCACCTACTTACCTCTTATTCTGGGAGCGAAATTGACAATTGGGTTCGCGATTTGACAAATAAGCCCCGGCCCGAATGCTATTGTAAAATTTGTTGGGAGAAGAACGGGAACAATACAAGTTACGTAAAACATGCAAAATGTTCTGCATAATTCCAAATAAGTACTCAGAACTTCTCGCTGTTTGAAATAGACACGGTTAAAAAGCAGAATAGAAGTCGTCACGGTCAAGGAAGTAAGGAGGAGGGATGACAATTTGAGAAGGAAAAGTTTCAGAGGGGAGCATTTTTTAACAAATATTTTTCTCGCGATGACCGAGATGCCGTAGGGGTGCATATGTTGGAACACGGATTGATAAGAGGCTAAAATCTGCCATAATCCTGGTGAGACTAAGTCGTTTTCGGTCGAGGAGATTGATACGCGAAATTTAAAAAGACATTTTAAAATATTTTTAAAAGTAGTTAAATGGCGAAGTATTGCTGGATTAACTTTAAAAGGCATGAGGGTTTCCTTTGATTTTCTTATTTTGTGATAGAAAGTTGAAATATATTGGTTGGGGATTGCGTATCGGGCATATTTATTTTACATTTCTGGATATTTTTGTATATAATGCGTACTTACCTAAGCGATATTGTCTGGAAGAAAGTTAGTAATGAAATTATTTAGTTAGCAAACAGTTGGATTAAATTAGTATCTAAATTTTGTATTTTTTTCTTAACGGAGCATCTGCATATTTAGGAGTACCGATTGAGCAATGAATTGCGAAATGAGTCACAATTTTTGATGCCGGATTTGTTAGAATATATATATACTAGCAGATAAGCCCGTCTTAAAGACGGGCGAAACTTCATACATATTTGCTTTGACTCTCCCATTGTATTTTCTATGTCACCAAATACTTTTCCTATGAATTCCAACCAATTTTATAATGTTACCACGTTATTTTCCTTGGTCACCAAGTTACTTTCTATGGCAACAAACTTATTTTATTTTGTTACCAATTATTTTCTGAGGTTACCAACTTATTTTGTGCGGTTACCAATTATTTTCCTTGGTTACCAAGATATTTTCTAAGGTTACCAACTTATTTTGTGCGGTTACCAATTTTTTTCCTTGGTTACCAAGTTACTTTCTATGGCAATAAATTTATTTTATGTTGTTACCAATTATTTTCTGAGGTTACCAACTTATTTTGTGTGGTTACCAATTATTTTCCTTGGTTACCAAGTTACTTTCTATGGCAACAAACTTATTTTATGTTGTTACCAATTATTTTCTGAGGTTACCAACTTATTTTGTGTGGTTACCAATTATTTTCTTTGGTTACCAAGTTATTTTCTAAGGTTACCAACTTATTTTGTGCGGTTACCAATTATTTTCCTTGGTTACCATACTACTTTCTATGGCAACAGACTTATTTTATGTTGTTACCAATTATTTTCTGAGGTTACCAACTTATTTTGTGTGGTTACCAATTATTTTCCTTGGTTACCAAGGTATTTTCTATGGTTACTAACTTACTTTGTGTGGTAACCAATTATTTTCCATGGTTATTTTCTAAGGTTACCAGAACCAGAACCGAGAACCAGAACCGAAAACCAGAACCAGAACTGAGAACCAGAACCGAAAACCAGAACCAGAACCAGAACCCAGAACCAGAACCAGAACCAGAACCAGAACCAGAACAAGAACCGAGAACCAGAACCGAGAACCAGAACCAGAACCCAGAACCAGAACCAGAACCAGAACAAGAACAAGAACCGAGAACCAGAACCGAGAACCAGAACCAGAACCAGAACCAGAACCAGAACCAGAATCAGAACCAGAACCAGAACCAGAACCGAGAACCAGAACCAGAACCAGAACCAGAACCAGAACCAGAACCAGAACCAGAACCAGAACCAGAACCGAGAACCAGAACCAGAACCGAAAACCAGAACCAGAACCGAGAACCAGAACCAGAACCAGAACCGAGAACCAGAATGTTGACGCCGCTCTGACTAATCGCCAACGTTGAGACCGTCCACAAAAACTACCCGTCTCTGTCGGTTTCTCCAAGATGAGATGCTGCTGTCAGACGTGTTAGATGTCTTTCACCCAAAAATGATCCCTTAAACACTTTCCCCAATATTGAATAATAACTTTATTAGGGAACTAAAGGAAATCAATTATAATACATTAATCAAGACGAAAATAACGTTATCGAACAAGATCAACCGTTCAACTTGAGCTCTCTTTCAAGACTTGTTACCTACTCGAGAACGAACAAAGAACCACGCTCGCTTTTCCACTTTGCTCTTCCCTCTACTCCTATCTCAACTAACCCCATCTCACTTGGGATTCCTACTTTCCCGAGTCATAAGAACAACATTACTCAGGAATATATTTCTACTCAGGAATATATTTCTACTCAGGAATAATTCTGTGCCGGAATACTAACGGGCACAGAAACAATACAAAACACTCGGGAATAATACAAACAACTCGGGAATACTAACAAACTACTCGGGAATAATAATAAACTCTTATTCCTAGTTTTAACACAGAACCAGAACCAGAACCGAGAACCAGAACCAGAACCAGAACCAGAACCACACCAGAACCGAGAACCAGAACCAGAACCGAAAACCAGAACCAGAACCCAGAACCAGAACCAGAACCGAGAACCAGAACCAGAACGTAGAACCAGAACCGAGAACCAGAACCAGAACCAGAACCGAGAACCAGAACCAGAACCAGAACCAGAACCGAGAACCAGAACCAGAACCAGAACCAGAATCGAAAACCAGAACCAGAACCAGAACCGAGAACCAGAACCGAAAACCAGAACCAGAACCAGAACCAGAACCATAAATCTATATCGTAGAGTAAATTCTGACAGCCAATCAGATTGCTGGAATGTTACGGAAAGTTATAGCATGGGGCTTACGGGACGGGTTTTTTGAAATCATAAGATAGATGGATCGGGATAAATTTAACAAAACTAATGTCGCCAGATTTTCTTATATGAAACACTTAGGTATATAAAATAATACAATTATGAAAGACATTAATCGATTTCTGACATGAAATTTTAAAACTAAATAAAATGAGAAAACTTACAATTACTGAAGTACTGATAAATTTATTTGTGGATAGGTTAATGCGAGCAATGAAATCGGTCTCGATGATACATAACCTCATGAAGAGGTGATCACCTTTGAATTACTCATAATGATAAACCGGACACTTATTTTCATCTTTAAATAAACTTTAAATCCTAACAAAATTCCAGTTTTGTACTGCAATTTTGTCTTTTATAGACAAAGTAAAGACATGTTAAATAGATACAACCTGGTACTCCAAAATATATTGGTATATTCAAAATTAAGGATGATGGGTGTCCGGATGAAAATAGGTGAAATTGAAGCTTGGAAGCAATTATTTACATCTAAATTAGATATAAATAATTTGTTCTAAGCTTCAATTTTATTTTTTATATACAGCATTACAACTTTATTTTTACACAGAAAATTCATCGTTGGAGAATTAAGTTTATGTTGTTTTCAATATAATGGATTATTTGTCCAAATGGTAACTCTTATTTAAAAAAAAAATATCTGATAAAATATTTAATTTTTTTAGGATATACAGAGCTCTAGTGAGATGAGAAAATGAATAGTTTTACAACCATGAAAAAAATATGCAGTAGTGGTCATAAGTCTGCATACCTCCTAAACCTATTTTCTGCAATTGTGTCAGCACAGAAAGATATAGGACGAATGCCGTTCCAGATTTTGAAAAATTCTCAAAAGGTCACAGCTCAAAATTTTTTTTAAAAAAAGCTCAATTTTTAACTACATTAAGGAAATTTTTTCCTTGCTGGTTATATTTTTTTGTCAATAGCCCAAGCCATCCGGAACAGGTTGATACATATCTTGAAGCACTCTCTACGATTTTTGAAGAAAGTTATGAATTTTTTTAAAAAGATGACTTTACAGGATTTTTCAAAAATTCTCCATAAGCGTAATATTAAACTTTTCAAAAGTCGCCTTTTTCGAAAATCCATAACCTCCTTCAAAGTTTACGGCCGAATGTGGGGACCCTCTTCTTGCAAAGAATTCCGTTACTCGTATCACAGATTCAGCCATCCACTAAAAAAATGTTTAATTAAAAGGATTTGGCATTCCGAATTGTGTAAATACTAGTCCAAAGCATACGCCCTCAAATAATTTATAGGTTGATAATTGATTGATGTCGAAATTAAATTCGACTTAACATGTGTGTTGGTGAATAAGTATTTAACATACCCAAACTCCTTGAAATATTAGTCGATTAAGGGGACTGCATTTGGTTATGAAATCCGTTAATTTTTCATCATCGCTTGGAAGGTCGTCAAAAATAGCCTTAGGAAATTTACTGCTCAGGCTGGTGATTCTTAGTTCTGAGAGGCCTAGATTTGAAAAAATAATAAATTTTAAGACAACATTGCTCATATTTCAAGCTAGTCAACGGCAGTCATTGTCCACGCTCAGTGATTTTATTCAATTCAAACTTATAGCCACCTCGGAATTGTGTCATGTAATTTTAAAAATTGTTTGGCGGTAATCACAATTGGACATCAAGACAAAAAATTTATGAAAAAACATCTTACCTGTGTCTACATCTAAAGATTCCAGTGCTTCCAAAATTTGGCTCAATCGCGGGTCGCCACCACCAATAACGATTTCCAAATGGGTCAAATACTTCCATGTGGCGCACATCCGTAGAACGTTGGGAAGGTTGGCAGTTTCCGCAAAATTCCCCATGTACTCGGCCTCCTGAATGTTATTGATGGTTAGATGTGTCACGTTTGGAAATGGGTTAGCGTTGGGTTGGGAAATGATTAGGAAATCGCGAATATTCCCAATTTGGAGATTTTTAACGCCTGCAAAAGTAATTCAATATTTTTTATTCTTATTCCCATATTTTTTTGCAAATGCCTTCAGGGTTAATCGCAAACATGTTTCTTAACTACGGGGGCTAAGGAAATCTCGACAGGGCCGCCCGCAACAGGGGGGTAAGCCCTCACGAAAGGGGGAGGTGGGGAAACCTTTTTCAGGAAAACCACCACTGGGATTCGAACCCAGTCTATTCGGCACCAACCGTCAGACATGGTATGTATAGTCTCGCTTTGTAATCGAGTGCCGCGGAGATAGCCATTCTGCCCTGCTCTTAATTCAATAGGTTATTGTACAAATTATGTGTTTATTAAACCCGAAAGTGGCAAGGACCTCCATATTAAGCTAAATAGGATATTATTAAACTTGTTCAGTATTTTTTTAATTTAATTTAGAGCACCCACAATTAACTATTTTTTTCGGGAAACAGATGCCCAAAGCTAATCCCATGGTTGAAAGATGGTCAGTTCAAGAATTACCGCTTTACCCGGAAATAAAAAAAATCGTATATAAATTTCAGTGTTTCGTTTCTTGCGGGTCTCATGCATTTTTTGCGGTGCACTGCAAGAAACAGCAAGAAACGTAAGAAATGCAAGAAACGCAAGAAATTCAAATAAACGAGCATTATCAAATATAATTTGCTTAGAATTTACACATCAAATTTCAGTTCTGCATATACAACTTACAGTAACTTCGCAAAAGTATTAGAGCAATTTTGGAGAAACTTCAATTTTTTCAAAATTTCTTTGAAATATCAGTTTTTCAGGAATATCTCATCCATTTTTCATCTCACAAAAATCTATAATATAGCAAAATGATCGTATGGCTAAGACGGATCTTCCTATCTTGCACAATAATGCATTTCACATTGCCCCAAAATCATTTCTTGCATTTCTTGCGTTTCTTGCGTTTTCTGCAGGTCAAAAGAAGTGAAAAAAACCACTTTCTTGCAGCTGTTTCTTGCAGGTGGTTACTTGCACCCGAAACACTGATAAATTTACTGACCTTCAATCCTTCTGATAGGTTGATCTTGGCGGTCATCCCAACTAATGTGTTCGCCCGTTATGTCGAACGGATCCATCGAAAGGCTAACTAAACAGGGAAAGTTTTCCGGTAGAAATTGCACAAACTCGAAAACATCAGAGGCCAAATTCTTGAAATATTTCAGTTTTGGGAAGGATGAAGATAGTTCCACCCGGGGATGCGTTCTGAACACGTTAACTGGTGAAGTATTGATCCCCAGACATAGCTTCTCCAAGGTTGTGGAGACTTGGGTCAAGAGAGGGCAGAGTTGGGGCAAATTGTCTGTGCTGTTAGTAATTCAAATTCAATGAGGTTATTTTCCGTGTAAACTTTATAATTGAATTGAAGAGGAGAATTAAATTAAAAACTTTTTAGGAATTTTAAAGAATTAGTCAATAGTGTATATCACGGTAATTTGGGAATAAATTACAATATCATTCAGTGCTTTTATAAATAGCGATCTTGCCTTTTTTTGCTAAATTACGAACAATTTTACTCTTATTTTGCTAATGATGTCAAATGCAACTTTAATGCTTAAGCGCATGCTTAATCGAACCTATTTACCTATATCCATCGCTCGGGAAGGCAAACCATTCCAAAATTTTTAGCGTTTTCGCACATTTCCCTAAATCCTAAGTTGTTCTTCGCATTTTCAAAACTGCTTCCACTAACTTCCAACACTTTAAGATTTCTTAAGCAAACCACTCCAACGTCTGGAATAGGTTTGTCAAAACATATTTTAATTGCCATCTTGACCAAGTTAGGGAGTCCGTTAGCCGACAAGATTTCGAGAAGAGATGGCCAAGATAAGGAATCCAGGCAGAGACGTAATTCCCTTATTTGTCTAACCAGAATTGACACCACCTTTTGAAATTGAACTTCTGAATCACCGTACGCATATTGTACGCAGATTCGTTTCAGTAGGGCGGGATTAACTTTTTGAATTTCGTCAGCTGTTGTCGAACTCTGGGAGAAGAGCCGCATTGAGAAGATTTTCCTCGTTCCGAGTTCCGCAGCCCCGATGCTGTTCCAGGTAGATGACACTGTTCGGAACGCTTGGATGCGATGGATGTCCAAGTGAGAAAAAATGTTGGACAGAATCTAAAATTTAGAGTGGAAGATATTTAAATTTATATGCGACAATGAAGCAAACAGAATCGCCTTCCCATCAGTCCGCTATCACCCTGCTTCGAAATTCAACCTTGAATTGGGTACACAGTTTTGGCAATAGGGATAGATGTGAATTTTCTGGCAATATGAAATTGTAGGATAAAAACAACTTTTTTTATGAGAGATAATTTTTCAACATTTTAATTCTTACGATTGTATTTGTGTAGACGGAGTGCAAATTTGGACGTAAGCCGGTTTCCATGATGACTGTATTTAGAAGGAATAAATGATTTTGAATAATATTTATTGAGTTAATTTACACTGACAGAATTCTTACTTTAAAATATCCAAAAAATATTTTTTTATTGCTTTAACATGTGGATTAATTATCAAATGTTTAATACTGCCCAAGCTGAGCGCATACTTGTTAAACGAATGAAAGGTTTATTTCCCAAAAAAATTATATTTTATGTGTCCACATCCCTCAGGTTAAGGATTAAAAGTTATTTTTGTCTCTCAGAAAGGGCGAGTTGAAAAAGGTTCAGCTGTGCTACCCTTTGAGGGTAGGAAGTTCCTACTAGGAACCCTTAAAAAATTAAAATTCTATACAGGTCAAGCACCTTATTTATTGGGAGGGTCAAACAGATGCACGACTTTTCAGGAGCGGAACATTGCCAGGTATTAATCCTGAAAATGGAGACAACATCTCTATATGATTGCAGCCTGTGGTCATTTCCACCAGACTTTAAAATATGGTCATTTATTCGAGAGTAAACTGCTTAATTGGTGGTCCCCAAAAAACCTCAGACTTCGAATTATGCGCTCAGTAAGCTACTGACAGTCACACGTTAGGTGGAACTTGTCGGTAATCAGCCTTTAATGTGCTCCCGCCGGGGGTCGGACTATCTCGGAAATATGAGTAAATTGCATATTTTAGTAAAGCGTAAGCTATGTGGCTTATGGGGACGCTAAATATATTCATTAATGTTTTTTTCATCTGTCTCCATCACGGTTTATCGTACAAAAATCATTGTTAATTATGTTTTTATATCTCCATATCTATTAATTTAGATTAAATTTAGTCACACCAGCAATATTGAATTTTCTCCATGTTCCTCGTCACTATCATGCTTTTCGTCTCCAGAGAAATACCACTCGCGCAGAATTGCCAGACTCGATGGTTTACATTACGACATCCCGAATCTTTTGCATAAACGTTGACAATTGGCAGTTTGTCGAAATGTCATCACAATTTTATATTAGATAGGAAATACTTAACTATTTGCAATCGGACGCTTCATTAAGTTCTGCTAAGGCGGAAACACACCAACATTAGGCCTTTAATTTTTAGTCTAAACTGTCTATTAAATGATATTTATGAGAAATGCTACGCTGTAATACGAGGCTATGCTCAACCCTCCATGCAACAAACCTTTCCGCGCAGCGTCATTGTTGCACGATGGAGAGGAACCCACATATTTACTTCCCGTTCACGCCAACTCGTCCCAGCTCGGTTGTTGTTACACCCTTTCAATCGGGAAGGGTGTAACGAATGACCTTTGTCAGTCACGTGCATGCAGCTGAGGAGCCATTGCGCAATGGCCAATCTTGATGCCATTCGTCGTTTTAAAAGCCGTTGGTGAGTTCGGCGTACCAATAAAGTGGTTTTACTGTACAACTACCGTTAGTACTATAGATCTACTACGTATGGTGAAGCATACTATGATGATATCGATAACGGCGTGTAATATTGGATGCACTTATTTACGTCGTACAGATTTGATAATTTTATACCACACGACCAAAAGCACTAAATAAGTACGTCTATTGTATTATAAATAGATTTTAGGTTTTATTAAATATTACATGAGCCGTGACTTTATTAATTGATCTAATACAGATACTAGTGGTCTTGACCAAACCAAAGTTATATCTTCATGCTGTCCCTTCTTTTGTCACAATCTGAAAAAATAGTCTTGCTCACAAACTTATAGTTTTCACATAATTTTTGAAAGCTTCCAATTTCCCGCAATAAATTTGTGACCCCAATAATACAATTGCACACTAAATCTAAATCTCACAAGCTCAAAAAACAACACAAAAGCACATATGATCAAGCAAATTCCCCAAACATAAAATCCTGGCGTAACCTTTGAATTCCAATCTAATCGTGAAACTGCCTCAATTTTCGGATGTGTCCAGTTAGCATAGTGATTCAGCAGCTTTTCAGGTTTCCATAATTTGTACAAAAATTCCAAATGTTTCAGTATCCCTGACGATATCATGGCTTTCATTCGTTTTTCTACATAACTATTTTTCACCGGACGCAAAACCCAACCCCTTGTATTCTCGAAGAACGAGTCACCATCCACACTGACGTAAGTTATCTTTTCTTGGTTATCATTCAGAAAATTTGTAATTGCCGCGATATTCTCTTTTGAATCCACCAGGGCAACTTTACCACAGGTCGACAATGCTTTGACTATTCCATAGCTGTCAAAGGCATCATAATCTACCGGTTGTATTGGGACGTCTTTTAACAAACTCTTATTAAATCGAGCAGGGTCACCAAACATACCTTCGCGTGAAAACGTAAAATTTCTGTATCCAAGATGGTGATAGAGGGTTTTTGCTAAAGCAATCACTGTATTATTGTATTTTGTAAGAAAGTAATCATGTGCGTCCAGTGGTACAAAAGCAACGAGAATTATTCGGTAGAATATCATGTAACGGAAAAATTCTACTTGCTGCGAGTTGTCGTCTAGACCGAAAAGTTTGAATGGCATAAGAATTCGAATTCCGTCTACGTCAAAAACAGTTTCCCAAGGGGATCTGTAAATTGTGGGGACGATCATTTCCATGGTGAAGCAAGTCTTGTACCAATTTGTCAAAACGGTTCCCACAAAAATAGTCCAAACTGCTAAAATCATGTAAAGTCCGACAGAGCGATATTTCTTGTCGCTGGATCCAATCTCATAAGTAGACTGAGATGCAATAACAGAATTTTCCATTGTTATTCCAACCACTAAATATATGCCGTCGGAGATTACCCTTCTAAGTACGACGGTCAATATTAAAACTACCATGCCACAGGAAATAAGCAAACACGTCCAGGTCGCCCAATCAAACGGACTACTCAACGATGTTAACATGGCAGAATTTGAAATGGTTTGATAGCACGATACAAAGCTGAAGGGTTGACTATCATAAACTAGGTAACGAACTGCTCTTTGGCCACGCCGCCAAGTGATCCTTTGGACAGGGTAGATAGCATGTATTGGCGTCAACTCTGACAAATCATATGTCAATAAATCTTCTAAAATCAAATAAATCAAGAATTGGCTGAGCGAGGTCAAATTTGCTAGCAGACGATACCTATGATGGGATTGGTAAAGGTTTTTTAGAGCAAATAAGTCGTCAGTGTTTAGTCCGTCTTTGATAAAACGAGCGTTATTCGGCCAAAAATATTTGTTTAGCCGTGACAAATTTTTCCCCAATAGGACTATCTCATGAAAACAATTGTCTGGTTGGCATTCTATGGTATACCACTCTTCCGTCGGCTCCACCCCAACAAGTGGTCTCTTTATGTGGTAAAAGTTATGGTAGGCTATCCTTAAAACTGTCTCATATTCCTCCAATTTCGTCGTATCCACTATTAAGAATTCTCTTAAACCGAAATTTTTTCTGACATAGTTATGCCTGAGATACCCCTTAGCATTGTTCGGCTTTGTTGTGAAAAAAATGAAGTATTGCAATGGATAAATTGGATAGACGAGGGATATTCCAATTAAATTAAAAATTGTAATGCCAAACATGTGCAACCTCTCGGGAAGGATGAGAAATGTTGCCCAACAGTGTGGTCCCACATTTCGATATCTGTGGAGGGTAATCCGATCGTAAATTAAAAATCTTGTAGGTGGATACCTATGGCTTTTGTAATCTAGCAAGACAACCGGTCCCGATTTGGCCTTCTTATTTGAGGATCCCCAGATTAAGTCATTTTCAGTGAAGATAACGGTAGTACAGTTTTCAAACGGGTAAAGATACTCGGTGAGTTTAGCTTCAATTAAATCTAAAATGACTTTATCACTTTGTTTTGGCTTTTCAGTGGTTGCATTGTCGATGGCGAAAAATATTTGAAAAATCGGGAGAAATAGTAGAATAACGGCGAAAGATGCCATTCCAATTGTGGATTAGGCTGTGGAACCAAGTTATGGATTATTCTTTTTGATAACTAAATATACGAGTTTCTGATTATCTAATGCAGTATGCTTCGTGTTTCGGAAATTCACACATTTTTGGATTTTTCACATCACAGTGGGAATAACTGTGAAAAACCGGGAAAAATGAGAAAAACTGTGAAAATGCCTATTTAAAGCATTTTGAAAGGCATCAAGCCCAATATTTCATTAATTTATGATTTGGGTAATATAATTGATTTTTAATTAATTAATTTAATCATTAATTAAATGATTAAATACTTAATAATTTAACATGAAGAATTTAATCAGATTAATATTACTCACTTAAAAATGTTATAGTTAATAGTTTGCCATTTCCTACTAAATGTTAAATAGTAACATTTAGAAAACGGAAGAAATTGAGATAAATAACACGACACAATGTGTCTCACAATACCCCAATTGGATTTTCACAGTATTTCGCAGTTATTTACATGGGGGTCTGTTGGTAATTAACAGTAATTACCGTCAATTACCGCCGGTAATTACCGCCCGGTAATTCACACCCGGAACACTGAGTATGCCAGTAGTTGGATTCAGCTTCTGGTTACCATGCAATAACCCGGTATGTGTAGTTCGGAAATTTGTCTGCATAAACAAATGCAGATTTAATGCGAAAACTTTTAAAAGGCCATTAAGATAATATGTATAAGGGGAATTATATATTTTTGTTACTGGTACGATTTCGTGATGATAATTTATGTACCATGTGGAAGTGGGTAGTAGTTATTGTAATAACCAGTTTGATAAGATACCAAACATTCGAATGAACAGAACTTACCGTGTTGTGGGCTTTATGTAAATAATTTTCTAAATTTGCCCTCATTATGCTAACTTTCGTATTATAAGCTCATTATCTAGATACCTCGTTTTTCGTCTGTAAATAAATATGTCAATTTTATTCATCAATGTTAACAATTATGTGCAGTTTAGGAATAAGTAAATTATGTACATGTGTATTCCGGTAAAAGAAATAGGGCGGATGTGGACGTTTTATTCGAAAACAAATTAAGCGTCTGCTAGCCAACGTTATTAAACCCGGGTTACCCACCCAAAATGGGAAACAGCCTGAAAGTATCGTCAGGGATACTGAAATATTTGGAATTTTTGTACAAATTTGAAAAGTTGCTGAATCATTATGGTAATTGAACACACCCGAAAATTGAGATCCATGATTAGATTGGAATTCGAAGATTACGCTAGGATTTCATGTTTGGGGATTTTGTTTGGGGATTAGTTTTGTTTGGTTTTTTGAGATTGGGAGGTTCAGATTTGGTGTGCAATTGTATTATTGGACTAGCAGCTTTATTTTGGAAAATTTGAAAGCTTTCAAAAATTTTGCTAGAAATTTCACCGTGTGGACAATAGAGGTTTTTGGACAGATCTGCAGATTATTTCTACAGATTATTAATTACCTTCGGACAAAACTATAAAAATTTTAATTTTACTAAAATTTTGAATGTAGGCTTTGCACGAAGGGGAGTAGAGTAGAAGATTTGTCTTCTAATGAGGTCAATAAGGTCAATCAATTGGGACCAGTGATCCGTTTTAGCCGGCCAAAAGTACTTTTAGCCACTGGCCGGCTAAAAATGGTTAAAACCGGTCAAAATTGGTTAATGGTCAAAAGTGGCTAAAAGTGTCGCCACCTTACGTGCCCCCATCCGAACTACATGTAGTTCATCTAGTGCACCACTACGTGGCGACAGTTTTGGCCACTTTTGACCACTTCCGGCTAAATCTGGCTGAATTTTGGCCGGCTAAAATGGCCGGTTAAAACCGGTTATTACCAGCATAATAAAAGCCACCCGGAACACTGATTGGGACATACATAAAGACAGAACTGGGCTAATATATAAATTAATAATTTGAATTTGGAAAAACTAGGTTTTACGGAAAGATATGCATTACTGTAAACGTTTCTTTTCGGAATTGCAAAAAGTAACGCATTTGTCCATTTCCGACTCAGCAATTGACAAAACCATTCTAGTTATCACACAAATGTATAAGTGGTATGTGAACATAGGGAAATAGCAATAATAATGACACGACCGATGTACTCCAACTTGAGTATTCGTGGCTTTATTTTGACCAGAACTCGACCCACCAACGCTACATCATACAGATTTAAGGTCTTGAAGTGAACCCTTCATCTGGTTTTGTACTATTTATTACGATTAGCCCCGTGATCGGGTTCGCTCAACTAATCTATTATTATAAATTTGAATTTGACTATTGCACTTGAATTTATAGTTTCCGCTTAATCAATATGGGTATTCGCATCCAATCATACATTACCCATAGAAAATATTTCACTTGTTACTTGGATCGAGATAAGTAGTAATTCAGTTGCTAAATACCAAATATTTACATAAATTTTTCATACATTTTAGCAGAAATTGGCACTCTTTATTTAGAAAACTGGAAACATGATTAATTGAGAAAATTTAATTAGTCTGCTACAATTGCGGAAAGCCTATGATTGGAAAATGTAAATTTCTGAGCATGCATTGGTCTAATCTGAACTTTTACTCAAAGATTACGACTGGATGTGAAGACCCTCTTCTTGCCAAGAATTCCATTGCTCGCAAAACAGATCCAGCCTTCCACTAAAAAAATTAATTACAATTACATTAAATTTGCCGAATTATGTAAACACTTGTCCAAAGCATACCCGTTCAAATTTTTATAAGGTAAAAATTGATTGATTTGGAAATTAAATTTGGCATATATTTAGACTAATAAATTTATGTATTAATCAAATATATTAAACAAAGTGAAAAAATAAATGAATAAAAAATTCGGTTTGAAGAATTACTCCATAATTCCACAATGAATGAATGAATAATTCCCACACCCCGTAGATACTAATCGAGTTAATATGAGCAGCAATTCTACTAAATAAATATGTAACATACCCAAACTCCTTGAAATATTAGTCGCTTCAGGGTACTACATTTGGTAATGAAATCCGTCAATTTTTCATCATCGCGGGAAAGATTGTCAAAAATAGCCTTGTTATACATACTGTCCTGGCCAGCAATTCTTAGTTCTGAGAGGCCTAGATTTCCAACAATTTAAAATTTATTTTAACCATTTTCACATTTCAAGCTAATTAACGGCACACCGACGATGGCCACCATCAGCGATTTCATTCATCGGAATTATAATTCAAGAAATTTCTTGGCGATAATAAAAATCGGACATCCAGACCACAAGTTTATGAAAAATACACTTACCAGAGACAACATCTAAAGATTCCAGTGCTTCCAAAATTTTACTCAATGGCAACTCATCAGTACCAAGAACGATTTCCAAATGGGTCAAATGCTTCCATGTAACGCAACTCCTTACAACGTTGGAAAGCTTAGCTGCTTCTCCAAAATTTGTCAAATACCTGGCCCCCTGAAGTTTCTTGATGGTTAGATGTGTCACGTTTGGAAATGTGTTAGTGTGTGGGTTAGAAATTATTAGGAAATCGCGAAGATTCCCAATCTGGAGTTTCCTAACGCCTGTAAATGTGGTTTGTTTAACGTATAAATTACGAATTTATTTAAATAGGAAGTGGCAAGGATCCCCTCCATTAAGCAAGGATAATACTAAACTGGTCAGTATTTTTTAAATTTAGATTGTGGAATTATACAATATCCGAAAATTATAAAAAAATATTTAATACAAATTTACAGACCTTCAATCGTTTTGACAGGTTTATCTTGGTGGACATCCCAACTAATGTGGTCGCTACATAGATCGAACAGATCCATCGAGAGGCTAACTAAACAAGGAAAGTTTTCCGGTAGAAATTCCCCAACTTCGAAAATATCAGAGACCAAGTTCTTGAAATATTTCAGTTTTGGAAACGACGGAGATAGTGACACCCGGTGATGGGTTGTGTACCCGTTAATTTGAGAAGTATTGATCCCAAGATATAGCTTCTCCAAGGTTTTGGAGACTTGGGTCAAAAGAGGGCTGAGTTGGTGCAAATTGTCTGTCCTGTTAGTAATCAAGATTCAATGAGGTTATTTTCGGTGTAAGCTTACGGTAGTTGAATTGACGAGAAGAGTTTTTAAGAATTCAATTAAAATTTTTAAGAATTTAATTTAAAAATATGTTAAAATTTACATTTTAAAAATTTTAGGAATTAGGCAATTAATTGTCTAACGGTGCTTTCGGAAATAGCGATTTTGACTCTTTGTTAGCAACTTAGGGAAAAGTTTAAATTGCTATAACGTATTGCAAGTGGATTAATAATACAATGTTTAATACTGTCCAAGCTGTGTGCATACTGGTTGTTGGATGAAAGGTTTATCTCCCAAAAAATATATTTTATGTGTCCACATCCTTCAGGTTAAGGATTAAAAGTTATTTTTGTCTCTCCGAAAGGGTAAGTTGAAAAAGGTTTAGCCGATTGTGCTACCCTGTGAGGGTAGTAACCCTAAAAATATTAAAATTCTAAGCGGGTCAAGCACCTTATTTATTGGGGGGCGGGGGTCCAGCAGATGCAACGTACGCACGACTTTTCAGGAGCGAGACATTGACTGACATTGATCCTGGAAATACAGACAACTTCTCTAAATTATTGCAGCCTGTGGTCATTTACACCAGATTTGAAAATGTGATCGGACATTATTTATTCCAGAGCAACCTGCTTAATTTGCAAAAAAAAACGTCAGACTGCGCTAAGTCAGTGACTGACGGTCACACAATATGTGGAACTTGTCGGCAATTAGCCTTTAATGTGCTCCCGCCGTGGATCGGACTATCTCGGAAATATGAGTAAATTGCATATTTATTTCGGAAAAAGTTAAGCAATGGGGCTTATGGGCACGTTTAATATATTCATTACTGTAGATAATTGTTTTTTCCCATCTGTCTCCGTTACGGTTTATCGTACAAAAATCATTGTTAATTATGTTTTTATTTCTCAATACCTATTAATTTAGATGAAATTTAATAAGACCAGCAATATTTAATTTTCTTCATGTTCCTCGTCACTATCATGCATTTCGTCTCCTGTGAAATACCACTCGCCCAGAATTGCCAGACTCGATGCACTAGTCCGGAACCTCTTGCATAAACGTTGACAATTGGCAGTTTGTCGAAATGTCATCACAATTTTATATTAGATAGGAAATACTTAACTATTTGCATTCGGACGCTTCATTAAGTTCTGCTGAGGCGGAAACACACCCACATTGGGCCTTTAATTTTTAGCTTATACCGTCTATTAAATGTTATGGATGAGATATGCAACACTGTAATACGAGGCAATGCTCAATCCTCCATGCAACAAACCTTTCCGCGCAGCGTGACTGCTGGAGAGGAACTCATCTACTTCGCGTTCACTCAAACTCGTCCCAACTCGGTAGTTGTTACACCCTACTAAATCGGGAAGGGTGTAACGAAAGACCCATGTCACCGGCATGCAGCTGAGGAGCCATTGTGGATTTGACAATCTCAAATCTTGATACCCTTCGTCGTTTGAAATGCCGTTGGTGAGTACGGCGTAACAATAAAGTGATTTTACTGTATACTCAACGTTTTTACTATAGATCTACCGCGTATGGTGAAGCATACTATGATGATATCGATAACGGCGTGTAATACTGGATGCAGATTTAATAATTTTATACCACACGTATGGTCGTGTGCAAACGACCAAAAACACTAAATAAATGGCGTTTAGGTTTTATTGAATATTACATAAGTTGTGACTTCGGTAATTGATCTAATACAGTGGTCTTTAATCTAATACTAGTGGCCTTGACCAAGCTAAAGTTATATCTTCATGCTCTCCCTTCATTTTCTCACAATCCATAAAAACATTATTGCCCACAAACTTACAGTTTTCACACAATTTTTGAAGCCTTCCAATTTCCCACAATAAATTTGTGACTCCAATAATATAATTGAACACTAGATCTAAATCTCAAAATCTCCACAAACAACACAAAAGCAGATGTGATTAAACAAAATCCCCAAACATAAAATCCTGGCGTAATCTTTGAATTCCAATCTAATCGTGAAACTACCTCAATTTTTGGATGTGTCCAGTTAGCATAGTGATTCAGCAGCTTTTCTGGTTTCCATAATTTGTACAAAAATTCCAAATGTTTCACTATTCCCGCCGATATCATGGGTTTTATGCGTTTCTCGGCATAGTTATTTCGAATCGGGGCCATCATCCAACCCTTAATTGTGGGAATAAAGGAATCGGCATCTCTACTAACATAAGTTATCTTTTCCTGGTTATCATTCAGAAAATTTTTAATTGCCGCGATATTCTCTTTTGAATCCAACAACGCAACTTTGCCACAGGTCGACAAAGCTTTGACTATTCCATAGCTGTCTAAGGAATCATAATCTACCGGTTGTAACGGAACGTCATGTAACAAACTCTTATTAAAAAGATTCGGATCATTAAAAATACCTTCGGATGAAAACGTACCATTCATGTACCCAAGAAGAGGAAGGAGTGTTTTCGCCAAATAAAACACTGTACTATTGTATCTTGTACGAATGTAATCTTGTTTGTCAAGCGGTATAAACACAACCAAAATAATTTGGTAGAATATCCTGTAACGGAAAAAGTCTAAACGCTGAGAGTAGTCGTCTAGACCGAAAACGTTGAATGGCATAAGAATTCGAACCCCGTCTATGTCTAAAACACTTTCCCAAGGGGATCGGTATATGGTGGGGACGATCTGTTGTGAATGGTGGTTCGATTTTTATAAGAAATCAGATGAGATGGATAACAAGGGGTTTTTTCTTAATTAAGTGGGGTTTATTTTATAACTCAAATCAAAATTGACCCACACAGAATTATCTTTTAAATTACTTAAAATATCTTGACTTTGCTGCTTCCTCTCACGACAAACTCTACTCAGCTAGTACTTATATTCTACATATCCTCTTCCACACAAAATACTCCACGAGGCCATAATATATGTAAATACATACTAGAGGTCTCTTACTACATTAAATCTAAACATGAACCAATATTTCTAACATACTCCCACCTTTGACCTTAAAACAAATAGAAGGTCAAACAAATTCGCACAGAAAATATCCTATTAATAAGAGAAATCCACACATCATTTCATATCATGCCCAATACCCAACCTCGTTGGCACTTTCACTTTCCTTCCACTTCGAGTGATCACTTCACACGCACTTCGCTTAATAATCTTGGCGACTGGAACTTCTTGGCGTTGCTCGGTTGAAACCTCCAAAGGAAACACTCGTTGTACAGCTCGGGTCAGCTCTCCATTCTTCGTCTTGAGCTTCACTACTCGAACGTTCCCATCAGGTCCAGTGAACACCTCCAAAATCTTCGCTAAAGGCCAATCCACTCGCTTCTTGTTAGGAATTTCTACAAGAACAATGTCCCCTAGCTTCAAGTTTCCACGTAGCTTAGCTTTTCCTTTTTGCACGAGAGCTCCTAAATACTCTTCACGAAACCGCTGTCGCATATCATTTCTCAATTGTTGTCGGTACCGGTATTTCTTGTTAAAGAAGTTCCACTCCAAGTTGTCGACTTCTGGGAGCCCATGACTTCTTATCTCGTTGAGGAACAACGCTGGCGTTAAGACAGCCAAGTCGTTGGGGTCGTCAGACAGATAGGTAAGAGGACGTTGGTTGATGATCTCCTCACAGTCGCACAGCACCGTTACAATTTCTTCATAATCCAGACTGGCTCGTCCAAGCACTTTGCGCAGCAAAACTTTCACCATCCCCACAACTCGCTCCCACCAACCGCCCCACCACGGTGCAGCCGGCGGCGAAAACTTCCACGTAATTTGCTGAAGGGAGGTCGTAGTTGTAATCTTGTTCCAATCAAGCTTTTGAACGCGTTGTCTGTTCCTTCAAAGTTTGTTCCGTTGTCCGAAAAGATAATTGAGGGACGTCCACGACGGGACACAAATCTTCGTAAACTTTGCAAGAACGTTTCTGTCGACAATGATGTAACTAATTCCAAATGCAGAGCTCGATAAACAGCACACGTGAAGACGACGAACCACGCTTTATGTCCTCCTTTCAGATAGAGTGGTCCTCCCAAGTCGATCCCCACAACTTCAAATACTGCTGCATCACGGACACGGTCCAACGGTAAGGGTGCTTCCGGTGTGGTTACATTCTTACTCGAGAATCTTTTGCATATCACACAGCTTCCAATGATTTTCTTCACAGTTTGTCTTGATTTCAAAATCCAAAATCTTTCTCTTAGCAGGCTCATCAAATACTGCACTCCACAGTGATTCTTGGATTTGTGAACATGCATTATCAGCATCGCGACGAGTGGATTTAATGACGGCAGTAATAAGGGAAGCTTAAATTCCATGGAGTCATCTCTCATCAGAATGCGGGTCTTGACTCGTAAAACCCCAAAACTATCTTTGATAACATTCAACTGCTTGAGTACAAGGTCATCCTTGGTGAATGAGGCAATTTGCGTTAATCTGACTAAATGCAACTCCGCATCCGCTTCTTCTTCATAAGTTAGAGGTCCAGCACACTTTGAACTTGATTTAATAATTCTTTTCCATCTCAGGATCCATGCAACCATTCTCACGACTTTACGATATGAAGAAAAGTAGTGGAGATACCAAGGAATTTCTGCATCCAGAGCTAAGTGATTGACAACAGTCTTTTTCTTCTCCGACATCACTAAATCCAAATCACAATTTACTTCCGACCTTGGCCATTCCACTTCCGGTAGTCTCAACCAGGCTGGTCCCTCCCACCATCTCAGATCCAAAAGTTTCATTGCTCCACACCCTCGAGATGGCAAGTCGGCTGGATTGTGCACACCTGGCACATGCCTCCAATCATGAATGTTGCTGCTCTTCTGGATTTCTTGCACTCGATTATTCACAAACGTCGCCCAATTTTCGTTCTTTTGAATCCAGTATAGAGCACAACTTGAATCAGTCCAATAGGTAATGGGAAGATTTTCTGCCTCCAACATGACCCTCACGCAGTTTCCCAACCTGACTGCAATACAACATCCCAATAATTCCAAACGAGGGATGGTCATCCTTTTCACTGGCGCCACACGAGCCTTAGCCGTCACTAATTGCACATTCACGCCGCCTGGCCCATCATTTCGAACGAATACGCACGCACTGTATGCAAGTTTGCTGCCATCCGAGAATACATGAATACTTCGTTGATTTGTCACTCCATTGAATATACGTCTGGGAATTTGTATATTCTTCAAAGTTCCAACTTCAGATTTCCAAACGTCAAACTTCTTCTTTACTGGTTCCGGCACGCCTTCATCCCAACCGATCTTTAACATCCATAACTCTTGCAGTAGTAATTTTGGTAATAACGTAACTGGACTGCTAAAGCCGATGGGATCGTAGACAGAATTGGCTGCCGATAAAATCCTCCGCTTGGTAAGAATTCCGTCGAATTCTTCATCTTTCACGTCAAGTGAGATGCAATCTGAAGTCAAATCCCAGAGTAACCCAAGTACATGTGTGACACGATCTTCCTCCGAATATTCCTCTTCTCCATTCCAAATCCAACCCCTTAGTTCAAACTTGCCTGCGGCCATAATTGTAGTGGACTTGCTCACGAATTCTTGTAACTGCTGTTTTCCATCCACACTCGTACAACAGTTGTCCACATACAACGACTTCTTTAACAATTGAGCGACTGATCGATCCTCCTCCTTGACATTGTCCAAGTGATGGTTGATGGTTGATGCCAACAAAAACGGACTTGATGATACTCCAAAAACCACTCGACAATGTCTGAAAACCTCAATCTTCTTGGCCCCATAATCCTCCCACCACAAGAATTTGAGAAAGTCTCTATCCTCTTTTCGCACACAAATTTGCAGGAAAGCTTTCTTCACGTCCGACACCACCCCGTACTGTTTGGCTCTGAATCTCGTAACCACGGATGGAATCAGCTCAATAAGATTTTCTCCCTTCTCTAAACAATCATTCAATGATGGGTAATTGTTGCACTTGGCTGAGGCATCAAAAACAGGTCGAATCGGAGTGGTGGTGCTTTCTGGCTTGAAAACGGGTCGGTGGGGTAAATAGCTCCCCCCTCGTTCTACCTCCGCCACTGGAACTCGCTCAATAATTCCCATCTGCAGCCATTCACAGAAGACTTTTCCATAATCTTCCATCTTGTCAATACTTTTCAACTTGCTGGTGGCGGATTGAAGTCTCCGTTCTGCTAACACACGATTCTCGGAAACGGGCTTATGCCCTTCAATCCAAGGCAAAGCGACCTCATAACGACCTTCATCATTAACTTGCACATTATCTTTGAAATGCTTCGTGGCTGACTCCATGAGCTCTTCTCTTGTCTTCGTTTCACCCGGATCGGTAATTCCTATCAAGTCAAGTTTCCACAATGCTTGGATATCTAAATCTCGTACATGAAGTGATGTGGCCATGAGGGAACTGTCGTCTTCAATCTCTTTTGTTGCTGTAATCTTTCCCATCAGCGTCCACCCCAATCGTGTCTCCATTGCAACTGGACCGTTGTGAGTTCGGTGAATTTTACCGGTGAACAAATCTCCAGCAACGTCTGCCCCAATAAGCACATGAATATCACGCAGTTCATCATCCCTCTCAACGTCAGTCAACTCAATTCCAGCACTTTTCAACACTTTGAACCATGGACCCTGTGGGATTCTGGAAATCTTGCCACATATTTTCTCTTGATCCAATACTATAATGTTGCAATTAAACTTTCGATTCTTACTCTGCAGAGTGATCTCATACAACTTGTGTCGCTGTACATTCGTCTCCTGACCACCAAATAAACAGTGAGCGATCTTCTTTTCACCAACAGACTTGAATCCCAGCACCTCCACAGCTTTCTTTGACACATACGACCTCTGCGACCCGGTATCAATCACCACACGAATGAGCCTTTCTTCACCTTTCGCCTTATTGCAAATTCGTACTTCTAAAGTCTGCAACATTACGTCGTGATGTGAATAATTAGACATCGCCGTATCTACCCGATCAACTTGTTTTTGCGAAGGGTTTTCTGATTTATTCTTCGGGTTATCTGGACACATGAGGGCAAAATGCAAGCGTCCGCACAATGGACATTTCACTTTTGACTTGCAGAATTTCGACATGTGACCCCTCGTTAAACAAATGAAGCATGCTCTTTTCTCCTGGACTTTTTTCTTCTTATCCTCGAGACTCATCTTCGCCGCTTGGTAACAATCCGAACTAAAATGCTTCTTATCACAAAACACGCAAATTTTCTGCACCGAAGGTTCTCCGTTATACAATTCAGCTGCTGTTGAAACTGGTTCCACCTTCTCCCCCCAATACTTATCTTTCTTTTGGGCATTGTTGCCAAATCCAGTTTGCGCCATCTTGATCCGTACGTCACTTTCAACTTCAACTCTGAGGAACTCCATGAGATGAGCCAGACGATTAACTTGTTCTTCTTGACTCTTTTGTCGACTCCTCTCCCAAATTCTTAACATGTCCTCAGGCAACGAAGACTCCACTAAAAGGAAAAGCATGGCCGCATACTTATCACTGGTCACACCTAATGATTCCAGAGCTCGTAGTTGGGTTTCCAGCTTATCATAGAGCACTGAGATAGAGACACCTTTCTTCGAGACATTACTCAGCACAAAGCTTAACAAATCACGAACATACACTTCGATGAGTATTTCGTCGCGTCCAAATCGACTTTTTAAACTTTCAATCACCTTGGGGTAATTTTCTGCAGTAGGAGGGTAGCTGGCAACAATTGTCCTGGCTCTTGAGTTCTCGGTCGTAGCTTGGAATAAATACTGAAATTTCTCTTCTGCCGCCATGGAATCGTTCTCATTAATACTTTTGAACTGTCCCCAAAAACTCAACCACTCCCTCGGGTCCCCTCCATACTTCTTAAACTCCAACTTTGGCAAACCTTATCTTCGATTTTGGGCTGGCGTTGCTGCTTCTTGCCGACCCGTATTCTGACGAAGTCTCCGATTCTTCTTCCTTGACGGTTACATCCTTCAGTCGTTGATTGACGGCGATGAATTTTTCTGCATAATCTGTAGCCGACGTATATTCTTGTGCAAACGCCTCTTCTGTGGTGTCCTCGGCCAATAACATCGCCTCCTCGACCTTATCATTCACTTGTAGGAGCTTATTATGATGACCCTCTAACCTTTGGAAGAGTTGCTGTAGAATACCTTTGTCTGGCTCAGCCTTATCCAATTCATTCGTCAACTCGTTAATCGCCTTAGTAAATGCTGCCCTTATGGGTCCTCGCTGAATCTTGTATCCACTCATGATGATTACTTATCCAGTGCACTTATCACTTAAAGTCACTGATCCTGTAGACTGCGCCAAATGTTGTGAATGGTGGTTCGATTTTTATAAGAAATCAGATGAGATGGATAACAAGGGGTTTTTTCTTAATTAAGTGGGGTTTATTTTATAACTCAAATCAAAATTGACCCACACAGAATTATCTTTTAAATTACTTAAAATATCTTGACTTTGCTGCTTCCTCTCACGACAAACTCTACTCAGCTAGTACTTATATTCTACATATCCTCTTCCACACAAAATACTCCACGAGGCCATAATATATGTAAATACATACTAGAGGTCTCTTACTACATTAAATCTAAACATGAACCAATATTTCTAACACGATCATTTCCATCGTAAAGCAAGTCTTGTACCAATTTGTCAAAACGGTTCCTACAAAAATAGTCCAGACTGCGATAATCGTGTAAAGTCCGACCGAGTGATATTTCTTCTTCCCCGTTCTAATCTCATAAGTCGATTGAGACGCAATAACAGAGTTTTCTATTGTTATTCCAACCACTAAATATATGCTGTCTGAGATTACCTTTCTGTGTACTACAGTCAAGATTAGAACTACCATGCCACAGGATATCCCCAAACACCTCCAGCTCGCCCAATCAAACGGACTACTCAACGATGTTAACATGGCAGTATTTGAAATGGTTTGATAGCACGATACAAAGCTGAATGGTTCATTATCATAAACCAGGTAATAAGATCCTGTTTGGCTATACCGCCAATTTATCTTGTAAACAGGTGGGATAGAATATATTGGCGTAAAATTTGACAAGTCATATGTTAACAAATCTTCTAAAATCCAGTAGGATAGGAAACGGTTGAACGAGGTTAAATTGGCTAGCTGACGATACCTATGATGGGATTGGTAAAGTTTATTTTGAGCAAATAAGTCGCCAGTGTTGAGCAGATCTTTGTGAAACAGATTGTTACCCGTCCAAAAATATTTGTTTAGCCGTGACAAATTTCTACCGAGTATGATCAAGTTATGAAGGCAATCGACTGGCAGGCATACCACGGTATACCACTCTTCCGACGATTCCACTCCAGCAGGGCGGCTTTTCATGTGGTATATGTTTAGATAAGATATCCTTAAGACGGACTCATATTCCCCCAATTTAGTCGCATCCACTATGAGGAATTCTCTTAAACTAACATAATTATATAAATCCTGTCCATAGTTACGTGTGAGAAACCCCTCAGCATTTTTCGGCTTTGCTGTGAAAAAAATAAAATATTCCAATGGATAAATTAGACAGAAGAGGGGCTGTTCAATAAAATAATGAATTCTAATGCCAAACATGTCCAACTTCTCGGGAAGGATGAGAAATGTTGCCCAACAGTGTGGCGCTTTGTTTCTATATCTGTGGAGCGATATCTGATCGTACATTAAACATCTTGTTGTTGAATGCCAATGGATTTTGTAATCTAGTAAGACGATCGGTCCCAATTTGGTCTTCTTATTGGAGGACCCCCAGGTTAAGTCAGTATTTGTGAACATGACCGTAGTACAGTTTTCAAATAGGTAAAGATACTCGGTAAGTTTGCTTTCAATTAAATCTAGAATGGCTTGATCACTTTGTTTTGGCTTTTCAGCGGTTGCACAACCGATGAGGAAGAATTTTGACAAAATCTGGAGAAGCATTAGAATAGCGCCAATGGATGCCATTTCTGCAGTTGTAGATTTGGCTGTAGAACCAAGTTGTGGATTATTCTTGCTAAAAGCTAAATCTACGAGTTCCTGATTATCTAATACAGTATGCCAGTAGTTGGATCCAGATTCTGGTTACCAATAACCAAGACAGACTTGGAATATGTGTAAGTAGGTCGGAAATTTATCTGTATAAACAAATGCAGATTGAATGAATATGAAGTTAAAAACTTTTAAAAGGCCAGTAAGATAATATGAGGGGAATTATATATTTTTATTACTGGAACCATTTCGTGATGATAATTTGTGTACTATGTGGAGGTGGGCAGTAGTTATTAAAATAACCGGTTTAACAGGAAACCAAAAATTCGAATGGACAGAAATTACCATGGCGTGGGCTTTAAGTTTCTTACTAAATTTACACCCATTATGCTAACTTTCGTATTATCAAGTTCCTCATTATTTAACTGTGTTTCTGTTGTAAAAAATATGTGCATTTTATTCAGTGTGGTAACAATTATGAGAACTTTAGGAAATAAGTAAATTATATACATGCATACTTATTCCGGTAAAATTTAAAACATAGAGGTGATGGGGACAAATTACGAGATCACTACTAAATGTCCCCAACATCAGCTCGATTCCTCGAATTTCTACAGCCAAGTCCGTATCCATAGAGTTCCGAAATCTTTACGAATTTGTCATAAGTTATGCACGTTTTAGGTATTCTTTTAGAATTCTAGCCTAATATATGACGAATTCATACCGGGTTCTAATTAATTCGCATGAATTTCGGATTTTTTTATGATTCTAATTTATTGAATTATTAACTTATATATTTACCCAATTCTGTCTGTCTGTCTGTCCTTCTGTAACGGACTATCCCTTCAAAGTATTATTCTCCCCCTATCCCACAATGAATTACTGAGCAGCCAGATCAGCAGATTCATAATTCAGTATTGAGTATTGAGTATTAAGTATTCAGAATTGAGTATTCAGTATTGAGTATTTAGAATTCAGTATTCAGTATTGAGTATCCAAAATTCAGTATTTCGGAATTCAGAATTCAGTATTCTATACTGAATACTGAATACTGAATTTCAGTTTTTAGTATTCAATACTGCATTCTGAATACTGAATTCTGAATGAATACTGAATACCAGGCAATCGATCTCAAGAGAACGTGTACCATGCCTACACTCAATCGTTAGTTTCGTGTGTCCAGTCTGCATACATGGAGTTATGCGTTCCCTACGCCCATTACGATTATTAAAAATGTCGTACTGAAAGCAGTAAAAGGTTAAATTAGATATTCCCTAAAACCATCGCCCGCATTTCCCTAGACTAGCAAAATATATAAATTCGCTTTCCAACAAACCTAGTAAAACAGGCATATTCACAATTAAAATTGGCAGTTCTTGTGGCCTTTAACATCTTACATCTTGTTTTTATTCCAACTTATGGAAACAAATAACAGAAATATAATTAGACGTAGAATTTCACAAAATATTCTTTACATTTCTATCTAACTTTTAAAAAATGTAAAAAACCACCTACTTTGCTCTACCATAAAGATACTAACGATCTGAAGCCCTTTCGATATCGAAATACGGAGAAATCCGCCCGACCGAAATAAATCTTCATTCCGTTACACAATTCCATGGGGTACATCGCGACTCCTGGTAAGTTCGAATTATTTTGTAAATACCTAATCCAACAATCTGATCAAAAACTTCGACAAGAATATATTTTTGGTCATACCACCTCTCCCTTAGATATGAACTGCTTAAGAAACTCCGCCAAGTTAATTCAAGCCGCGAAGCTAATCATTTTAAAAAATTTTCTCGTCTCACCCCCTCTCATACCATGTTTTACATGCCGCCACAATATCTTCTCTGCCCTTAATGTAGTCCCCCTACGGGACATTCAGCTAGTTTGAGAATTTATTTAGGTTCCTGTTTTGGGCATCCCAAAGCAGGAACAGAAGCAGGAACCTCAATAAATTCTGGGTCTTCCTCAACAGCGACATAACCGGAAAATGCGGCCTACTCAGCGCTGGGTTTGATAATGTCCATGAACCCGAATTCTGCGATGTGGCCACAATTGCGGAAAAGTATAATTTGACCCTACTTCAACTCAAGGGCCTCGACTTCCCTTACTTTGGCGACACGAGTTTTAGCCTGGGAACTCGTAACATGCCCAATGCAAATGAATCATCCCTCCACACAGTCCTATTCAACCCACTGAACTACTACACTGAACCCACTGAACCCACTGAACTACTGAAACCACTGAACTACTGAAACCCACTGAACTTCTACGTTTTAACCGTGACCGATCCGCCATCTGCCGGCACCAGTGTGGCCATTTTCGTGACCCCGCTCCACCCTACGATATGGATTTGCCTCCTGATCAGCATCATTTCAGTGGCAGGCTTCTTCACCTTTGTAGAATTATGGGAGACCGGAAATTCTTTACGGGACACCCTTTGTATTACCTATGTCGAAAAGATAATCACCGTAACGCTTATATTTCTTGGAAATGCGGGACAAACCTCTGGAATAGCGTACCGTACAGGAAAAGTGTGCCTAGCTGTTCTCACTATCTGGTTCTTTGGTAATATCGTCCTCATGGTCAACTTCTACCAAGGGACGATGTACTCTTGCAGTCTTGCATGACGGTCCTCATCCCCCTGCCGACCCCTTGGGAAGGTAGAAGACCTCGTTACCTGGGATATTTCAGTCGTAACATGGGATCATACATTTAATCGCCTTACTCGTACCTCCGAATCTATCCTGTTGGACTACATTATGCCAGACTTACGCAAAAATATGGGGCTGAATCCTCATTTTTTAAATTTCTGGCTAAACATAAAAAAATTGTTATGGACTGGAAACGGCTCTGTAGAAGCCATGGTCACCCGTATTGCTATGGAACAATCTTCAATTAGTCATCCCACAATCGCTATATTCTTGCAAAAAAATGTTTTTCATTTTTTTTGAAGTATTTTAAAATTTTTGGGAATCACTGCTTCGTGCCGAGTAAGGGCGACTCTCCTTTCTATTATTTTGAGTGGCATAATGGGCCTGATAATTTGCTGTTTCCGTACTACAAAAAGGAAAAGCGACGATTGACGGAGTCCGGGTTGACTAAAATGTGGGATAATCTGTACAGGATTAGCTATTTGTTGAGACAATGTAGAAAATCAAACATTTCCGGACAGAATATCTACTTTAAGGCGGTCCAATATTCGTATGGGAATATAAAGGAGCCAGTCACATTTCATGAATCGCATCCTGTCTCGGTGAACCTATTTTTGCCGGTTTTCTCGATTTGCGCCGTCCTAATAGGGGCCGGAATTGTTGGACTCATTATCGAGAATAGGAAAGCTGTCACAAATTTTGCAAAAATTACTGTCCGTCGTGTAAGACAGTGTTGTAGTAGAATGCGTGGAATTCTGATGGCTTGTAGGATTTCTAAGAGACGAAAGAAGGGAGGAAATATAAAAGTTCAAGTGCTGTCGTAAAGACAAATTTCAAGATTAATATTCTAAACTTTAAAGTGCCATGCTGGCTGATAATTACCAACACCTGGCATAACTTTTTAATTATTTTTTTTTGTAATAATATACGAGTACATGTGCACCCATAAAAATTCGGATTTCATTATTTGTATATGAAAAATGGTAGAATTACAATTATAAACGTTTCAATCGTCTCTTAGCTAAATGATTTATAAAACATACCGCCGAATTTTATAATATTTGTAACATAAAAGTAAAAAGCGAAGTTTATGTATCTAACGCTGTTCACGAAACACCCCCATATTTTCACACTAGACAATTAATTTCATTCTCATAATCGTTTTTTTTATTTTACTCCAGTATTACAATCGTCTTCGCAGATTTTCTTCTTGCCAAGTATTCCATCGCTCGTATCACTGTTTCGGCTTTCCACTAAAAACAATTCAATGGCAGTTTCAATTAATAAATATTTATTCCAAGCATATTGTTATCATACCCAAATTCCTCGAAAAATAAGTCGATCAAGGGCGCCACATTTTGAAATGAAATCGTGCAGTTTGCCCCCATCACAGGGTATGTCGTCCTGCACGGTCCGTTTATTATCTTTGTCATAGCCAGTAATCCTCAATTCTTTGAGACCTATTTAGTAATTAAATAGTAGATAGATTAACACTATTTAAAACTAAATGACCCATTGTTTTCACTAGTTATAGTGTGTTCTGATTAAAGCATGTTAAATCAAACCCAAAGCACACGCTTTTATCCAGCCCAAATACCAAGCCCAAATACCAAGGATGGAAAATGTGCCAACTCTACTATTTGTTTCCCAGGACGGGCAAAATCATCTTCGCTGGGTCCATGAAACTAGTAAGACTACTAAATGAAAATTATAAAACCCCGCGACAAAAAGTTATTTTACTGCGCTTTGGTAGCTCACTCTCATATGATTTGCTAACCTCAGTGTACATCGCAGCGAGCTATCTTATACATATTCAAATAATAAAATTTACAAAAAAACAGGTTTCCTAGAAATGTCGCGGAAATAAATCACAATCAAGAAACAATTACTTACCAGATGTCACATTCAAAGACGAATTTAGCGCTTCCATCAACTCGCTTAGCGTCAGGTTACGAATGTCCAGCACGACGTCCAAGTGGGTCATATGCTTCCATAAGGCGCACCAATGAAGACAACGTTCGTCATTTGCCCGAAAGGCTTGTCTCGCTGCTCTATCTTTAGGGTTAGGTGGGTCACATTCGGAAATTTTGTCGGGGGTAGGGAAACCATTATGAGATCACATATTTTCCCTACAGTGAGTCTTGTCACGCCTAGAAAAATATAATTTAGTATTTTTTATAATTTTGCATATATTAGTAGGAAACGATATCTTATGAAACTTTTATCTTCTAGTTTTCCGAAGTATAATGCTCACCTTCATGCCGAACCCCACTTTCGAAAGACCGATCCCAGTATACTTTCCACTGGTCGAATTGACTCGCCAGGACAAACGATCCCTTCGACAGGTTGGTCAACTTTGGAAAATTTTCAGGAATGAGAAACTCGTCAAGTTGGAAAGCCTCAAAGGCAAAGTTTTGTAAGGATTTGAGCCTTGGGAACGACGGGAATTGAGTCATGTGGTGTCGAACTAAATGTCCGCCGCTTGCCTTACACGAAATTCCCAGGCTCAAATGTTCCAATGTGGCAGCAACTTGGACAAAGACGGGATAAAGTTTGTCCAATGGTTTGATTCTGCATGGAAATACAGAAACTTGATAAATTTTCAAAAACTACAGGACGTGACACCATCAATTCAAAGATTTTTCAAAGCGTGCATTTGAATTTTAAATATCTGGGATTTTGCTGGACCGCTAATTTTGTTAGATTTTCCACCGTGTAGATTTTGCCATCGGAAATACAGGAAACCCTTGAGTACAACATTAAAAACTAACTCACCCTGCTCCTTCCGATACGGCAAACCATTCCAAAGTTTTCAGCGTTTTCGCACATTTCCCCAAATTTGGGAAGAAATCCCCATGAATTTTCAAAGTTTTTAAGTTTGCCGCTAAATCGATTATGATTTGCAAATTGATGTCCACATTAAGCATGTCTGCCCCGCTGATCTGATAGAATTCCAGAACTTTGAGATTTCTTAAGGACACTTCAGCAATAGCGGGGACCGCTTGCTCAACAATCAACAGAGCAGAACGTTCCTTTGTTACCGCCAATTTTACCAAATTTGGAAGTGCCTTGGCCACCACGATGCCGACGAAGGCAGCCCAAAGTTGGAGATCCATGTTGATATGAATTTCTCTTATTTGCCGCCCCCACATTGCCGCGATCCAGCTAAATGTTGGGCTGAATTTATTGGGAGTTAAGAATCTTACAGAAATTTGCTTGAGCACGGAGGGATTAATTTTTTCAATTGCTTCCGGGGTTGCGAAAATTTTTAAGAAGTCCTTCATCGGAAAAAGGGTCCTCTTTCCGTACTCTGAAGCGCCGATGGTGTTCCAAATGGTGAACACGTTTCGAAACTTCTTGACACAGTGGGTGTCCAAATGTGAGAAAACGTTCGCGAGAATCTAAAATTTAGAGGGGGACATTATAAATATTTTAATTTACATGGCAATGAAACTCAGTCAGTATATTTTTTATTTAGATATTTCGAAATTTTTTTGCGAACTCGTAGAAACAAGCAAATTTAGAATTCTAATTAATTTATCATATGTAATGATTCACAAATGTTAATATTTCTGGTTATTTCTTACGATTCCATTATTTCTCATTGCAGACTGATGATTGGGACTCAAGTTTGGCTCCATGGCTCAAAAATGTCCGTATTTTCTGAAAAATCGTTACGTAGAATATTTACGTAGACGATATATTCTCCAAAATGCAACACTTTACACGGCTTTTTATTTGCTGAAATATTATTTAATCACTCTTCGAGATAGAGTCTGAAAAAATTATTCGAGTCTCGTTCAAGCAATGGTGGATAGCTAAATGTCCTGTATGCTTCATGGCCACACTTTTATACGTATATCATTCAGAGAAAATGCCAATGCACTTAGATGCACGAAACTATTTAACCTCTCTCCAAATTCTGAGAAAGGGCTAGTTAAAAAAGGTTCATAAAATTTTGGGTGCTTCTTGACCATTTAACATGTTAAATTTAGACAGGGTACCTCCATGACATACGTGAGGCAACCACCATAACGTGTGGCGATACATTTTTGATAGCCTTACTCTCTAATCGCTTATCCACCCACCCAAGCATCTCAAAATAACCGTAAGCCAGCCTCACGCGAACGACATGTTTTAGCTGGACAACCCTTTCACATATTTATTTAATGAATACAAATAACTTGAGTGATTTTCACTGCATTCTCCCCCAACCTCTTAGAGGTTGGTATTTGTAATTAGTTGTAAGTAGAGAGGGTAGGGTACTGGCAATGCATTACCCAGCCAGAGATCAATGACCACGATGAAAATTTCAGGTAAAAATTGTATTCAATGGACATAAATGCTCATTCTGGCAAATGGTGAAGTTCGTTTGTAATTTTGGAATAAAGAGTCCATCTTAAAATGGACTAAATTGTAGATGCATTATGTAATTACTCCAAACTAACTACAAATTCAAGTCTTAACTTTGTAAAATTTATTCAAAATTTATTATTCCCACTGTCAAAATATCTTTCCAAAATTCAATATATAATTCAATGTTATCTAATGAAAAACTTAAAACTAGATTGTAATACTAAATAGAAATAAAAATTTTCTTTTAAAATGACCGTGTATCATAATTAAGTGGTACATATCAAGTCTGGCAAATATTTGATCTGGTGGGATGAGATTAACGAGATCTAGTAGATCTATGGAATTAACTATAGGGTAGCACAGAAAATTTCTCCCGATATACTTTGTTAGCTCGGGTAAAGCAAAACTCGCCAACAAATGCACCAACGGACACAAACCACCCAATCCCGATAAAATAGAAGGTTCCCATCAAATTCTTCAGTTTTAGGAATACATCTGAATCAGTGTTGTAATTCACGGCTCTCTTTTTCCTGGAGCGACGTAGCTCCTCTAAATCTAGTAAATACCACTTTCCACTTCGCCCAGTTTCCATGCTGGATTCGAGAAATCTGGTGAAAATGGAGAGATAAATGGAGTCCTTTCGCATTACAATACCTGTCGGGACGGACATTGCGACTTCTTCGGAAACTCTGGAAATTTATTTTTAATATTTAAATTTGCCGCTAAATCTCCCAAAATTGCGAATTCGTACTTTAAAGGTATTGGAGCATTTCCTGGTAGCGTGAGATTCCTGTAGGCCACATAGTATTCCGTCCCTTGCCAGGTAATGCAGGCAAAATCTGTCGAAATGGCGCGTTTAATGCAGTCAATGACTTCCGAAGGTGGCGCCATTCCTTCGTAAATTTTTTTAAATACTGGATTTCCCGCGTATTTGAATAACGCGTGTAATCGACCCCCAGATTGATCTTGACCCCAGCGGAAATTGCTAAATTTTGGGCTAACCAGATCACCAAATGTTTTCGGTTGCACCTATGACAAGCTTAATTTAAATTAAATTAAAGTTAAATAATTAGGCTGTTAAACTCACTGGTATTACTGGGAAGGCCAGCTGGACCGTTAATTTCGATACGTACGCTGTATTCAAAATTAGCGCTGAGAACAGCCATATTACGCAAATCAGGCGAGTATAATTCATCTTGGGGTATTCTATGCCTTGGCCGACAAGCGCAAATGTTACGTAGGTCATATAATGACGAGAAAATAAGGACTCTCCTGTACTCTTTAAAATAAACACCAGATTAGACAAAACAGACTCACAAGAGACTAAACACTGCTCCACTTTACCTTTTCCCTATTGGTTGAATTTATGCCTTGGAAACAATATAGACACACCACCACTCCTCCTAGAGAAAGTCCTATCGCCGCCCACAATCCAGTGCTTAACGGCTGGTAAATCGCCCTCCACGAATATGCCTTTCCAGGCAGCCCAGTTATGAAGAGAGCCACGCAGTAGGTCAACGGCCCTGTAAAACTTGTAACTTTGAGACGTGCCTCATTTGCACTCGAGCACGTTCCAAAATCCGCTCTGTTGTTCACCAAATCGCCTATTACTCCGGTCCAACTTCCATTCACAATATTTCCGCTATCTCCTCCAATCGTGGCGGGGAAGACATCATAGCTCACATTCAAATATTCCGCCAACTCTTCCAAGCAAAACTTGTAAACGCCTCTACCCAACGAAAACGTCTTGTCGCGCGGATTTTGAGCGAGGTCAAGCAGGTATGGCGTGCCTATCGAGGCAGTGACACGTAAGGTGATTCCGTATCCGTTCCTCGTAATGTCTGGAAGGCCAGAAAATTTACGCGCCTAGATTTGAAAAATTCAAAAATTCTCAGTTTTACCTCTTCCCAATTTGTCATAATAATAACTTTCCCACATTTATTTCCATCAACTGAAATCCCTCAGGACCAATAGTCGTTGTGTGCAACACGTCCGGAAATAGGGTATCAATTCCCACCTTATACTTGATCTCTTGCAATGCTCTTGACATCAGAAAACTCAGGAATGGAGTCCTACTCATTCCGAGGAAAACGAAAAAATCCTCATTTTTACGAGTTATCTTCGGTACGTAGAAAACAAAATGTTCTCCTACCACCACAGAGATGACAGCTTTGTGGCCGTTTGAATATTTTTTCACACCGAACTCTGAAACCTTGTTAGTTGTGCTCCCATTATTAGACGGTTGTTGGGTTGTTATCCGCTTCGGCGTGTGGTCATTGTATGCGGAAATAACGCACATTAAATCACTATCGTAATTTCTGCTTTCCCAATTATCACCGTAATTCGTTATGGAGTGCCAGATGATAATTTCCGTACTCGATCCAAGTATGATGTCAAGAGTTTGTTCAATTTGAAGATGCCACTCGTCCGGCAAAGTAAGTTCTTCTGGACCCCAGCAAAATGTTGAAACAGGAGTCAGTAAAAATAATAATATTTTGGCAAATTTCGTTGAAACCATATCGTAAAAGTTCTGATAGTTGTTAAACCATCTCTGATAGTATGAAGGTACCAAACAACAGTGAAAGTCATGTTGGGTTGGGCAATCCGAAAATACTGGTTTTACGACTGTTTCAACATAAATTTTCCACTTGGTGTAAAAGTTATATGCACGCAATTGTAACAACTAAACGGAAATCTAAAAAAGAAAGTTATCACGCAAAGTGTCTCGATTTGTTGCACGACATGCACATTTCAAACTTAATAAATGCCAAGGCTGCATCTTTTCCATCCATTATTTCGTGAGGTCTAAAATATTTAAAATTGCAAATAAGGAGAAATGCTTACGTTTCGTGTAACGAAAGGCAATACCTTTCATGATAAATTAAGCAAGCCAGGAATGCAGTTTTGCCCAGACCAAGCAGTGAACAAGGGGAATTATTTCTCTAATTGGAACTCATTTTAATTGCTTTTCGGAATTAACGCACGTGATGTGAGACTAAATATAGCGCAAAGCCGAGGCTCTTTTTAAAACTGGTCTTATATCAGCATTTACGTGGAGATAGTCCGTCTGATTGTCATCATAGGGAAGCCAATTTTCCGATTAATTGCTGCAGGTTTTGGGAAATCAGGTCATGCAGCTTTATGTGCGTATATATCCAATTATGAGACACTTAGTGAGCTGCACATTTTTTGTTATATTAATTCATCAGCCAAATTCTACACAAATCTCTATCACAACGATTAAGGGAACGAATTGTGATATATTTCATAAATAAAATTGTAAAAAAACGTTAGATTTCCTGAAATTACAAAAGTGGAAGAAAATGAAATTATTACTGTTAAGTTTAATAAATTCAAATGGTAATCGTGAACTGTGAATAAATTGCAAAACAGGACATCGCAAAGTTCGACTTCTACTCCAAAAAAATAACCAAAGGTTATTTCAAAAATAACCTTCTCTTTGCTAAGAAGTCCAAGATGCGAACCATGGATGTAGATTTCCACTGCCAAAAATGTAAAATTAATTTATACGATTCGGAAACTAGAATAATTACCAAGGATTTCATAAGTTACCCAAATTCCTTGAAAAGTTAGCCGTTTAAGGGCGCCACAACTCGAAATGAACTCATACAACCTTCCACCATCGCAGGTCAGATCGTCGAATACGGTCCGTTGTTTTCCAATTTCATAAGCGTGTGCAATGTCGTCGCGGCAGTCAATTTTTAATTCTGTTAGGCCTAGTTATAAAAATAAAGTATTTAATGCGGGAGATTCAAAAATATGAAATTATTTAGGACTAGTAGTTTTGATCAGAAACCGTAACCGTAAAATAGGAGAAAACTAATTAGTATTTACCAGATATCACGCCTAAGGACGAATGCAGCGCTTCCACTACGTCCTTTAATCCCATTTCATGGATGCCCAACAGGATGACCAAGCGGGTCAGGTGCTTCCATAAGCCGCACACCTGAATAATCTTCACTAGGTATTCATTTTTCGCCAAATATTCGTCGTCCACCCCCACGTGAGGCAGGATTTCTAAAGTCAATTGCTTCACACTAGGAAATTTTCTGGGCTCCAAGGAAACCATTTTGAGGTTGCTGATATTTCCCACTTTGAGTTTTGTTATGCCTGCAAATGACTCACGCATGCGCATACGCTGTCAATTGTTTTTTACCAATATGAGGTAACACATAGTCGAAAATTTACCTTCATGTCGAACCCCACTATTCGCAGGGCCATCCCTGCGCACGTCCGGCCGTACGTGTTCTCTCGTTAGGCCGAACACCTCCTGGGAAAGGGTGACCAACCTGGGGAAGTTTTTTAGATCTAGAGACTCTTCAATTTTGAAAATATCGGAGGCCAAATTCTGTAAGGACAAGAGTCTTGGAAACGCTGGAAAACGAGCGGTCGGGAGATGATCTGTCGTCTTATAATAATTAGAATGATTGATTCCCAGGCTGAGATGCTCCAATGTGGGAGCAACTTGAATTAAGATGCTGTGAAGAGGTTCCAAACTTCGATTTCTTTATAAAAGTATGTACAAATGGCATTAGTTTTTGTAGCCTTCCAATTCGCTTACATTATTAAAGTAGTGTTGGAAGTTTTATTGTGAAACCCAATAAACTGAAAGATTTTTTAAAGTGCGTTCTATCCAATTCGCGAATTGAAAATATTCGCGACAACTAAATATTTTCAATTTGAGCAACCACATTACAAAGCTCAATTTCATATTTGCCACCTTGAGGAAAGCACAAATGTTGCGAGGGTGCGGCACTTAATACAAACTCACCTCTCACCACGTGACGATACTGCGAACCATTCCAAAGTTTTTAGAGTTTTCGCACATTTTCCCAAATCTGGGAAAAAATCTCCATGAATTTTCAAAATGTTTAGATTTGGCGCTGAATAGATTATGGTTTGCATATTGCTGTTCACATTGTGCATTTCAGCGTCTTTCATCTGGTGGAACTCGAATGCTTTCAGATTTCTGAGGGGGACTGGTCCAAAATTTGGAATTGTTTGTTCATAATGTGATTTTGTTAGTGCCAACTTGACCAAACTTGGGAGTCCGTCAGCCACCAAGATTTCTACGAATGCTGGCCAAATGTTTGGAGTCATGATTAGATGAATTTCCTGGATTTGCCGCCACCATTTCGACGTCGCCAGAGTGAACGTGTTACACCAACCAAAGTGCGGGTATCCTACAGTGACCCGTTTGATCACGGCGGGATTTATTTTTTGAATATCTTCCGGTGGTTTGGAAATGTTGAGGAAGGTTCCAATCCGGAAGATGGTCCTCGACCCGATCACTGAAGCTCCAATAGTGTTCCAAATTATGGAAACTGTTCGGAACGATTTGACGCAGTGGATGTCCAAATGAGCAAAAATGTTTGAGAGGATCTGAAATTCAAGGTTAAAATATTTATACTTACTAATTTGCGGCATGCCGATAAGTTTATAAAAACTCGAATTAAGTGAATCCTGTAAATTATTTTTTCTACTTTTTTAATTAATTCGTAACAATTATAGATTATGCTGTGAAACTAGAAATCGCTTAGTTACACGAAGTAAAGAAATGAAAGCATTTTTTTAAATTTTTAATATTATTGCAAATTGTGATGGTATGGCAAATTTTACTTAATTAGTGAAAGCATGGTTTTAATTTTATACGGTATATTTTGTCAGAAATAATTTTTCAGCAATGCATTTTTTATCGATTATCTTACAATTGGATTTGTGAAGACGGATTGGATAGAATTTGGACAAGACACAGCTTCCATTGCAAGGAGATATTAATATTTGAGTAACAAACTATTTATTTGTAAAAATTAGATCGAGTAATCCTAGGCTGCTGGGGTCCTTTTTTAATTAATACAGATATAAAAATTATTTTTGAATTTTCTATTGAAATACGAGGTGAAATTAGTTGAAGAACGTCCTGACTGTTGGTGGTAGGGAGAATAAATGTGGTTTCTTTTATCACGAAAACGATTATATATTTTTGGGCCAATCCTTCATGTCAAATACTAAAAGCTCTTGTGTTTTTAGAAATTCTGAGAATGTTAAAATTTTAGGTAAGTTTTGTACCTTTCCATTCAATGGGCTGCTGCTTAGATACAGCGTGCGTGGTTTTTTGTCCAGGGCTAGAATAATGTGGAAATTAAAAAACTACCTGATGGGATAATCGAGTGGGTATAAAGTCCACATATTATTGTTATTATTCACGAGTCATGTAAGTATTGTCCATCTGAAATCAAAGCTATGCTTCGTGCCTCACATTTACGTGAGACGGGACGCCATCTTGATGAATTCAATAAGTTCGAATTCCACGCACCAGGTGGTGTGATATGTAAGAGATGTCGCATATTGGGCCATTCGTATCTTTAATTAATTAATTGTAACAAATGTTCTGTCGTAAATTGTAGTTAATGTCAGGGCACCTTTTATTATAAATTTAATAGATTAATAGTCGTAATAAATTACAGGATCTCTGGAATTACTAATGAGAGAAAAATTGGAAAACAATTGACTTATTTTTATGTTTAATAAATTTTAGTAATTATCATAAAGTGTGAAGTTATGCTAAACTTGAAATTTAGATTTTGCCAAACTAGAAATAATCAAGGACAAGATACTACCAGGTATTTGTTATGAATACAAAATTTGGTTATTCAAAACTCACAGAGTGGACGGTTAAACAAGCGTTATTCATTCATTCTGGATAATTGAATATCTCCGTCATTGAATAAAATGAATCATTCTTTCGTGGAAATATCCTGATTATTCCCGGATATGGGCCACATTCTTCAGGTTAAGTGTTAAATGTTATTTTAGTTTCTGAGAAATGGTCGGGTTGAAAAGGGTTGCGAATTGTACTCTTGTAAATACTACCCTTCAAAAAACTTTAAAAGTTAATAAAATTCTATAGAGGTCATTCACCATTTTCATGAGTTGATTGGCGGAAGGCAAATATCTGTATGTTATAAAGTTGTGAAGGATTTTCCCAAGGCTTTAACTAACTTTGAGATATTAATTTAAATTCATTCTTGTTAATTCAATATATTATTAGTGAAATAATTTATGTGCCAGACGATAGATTAAAATCCGCTAACAAGTTAGTATTTTGAAAGTGAAAAAATATGCAGTTTTTCACTCCTTAATCTATACGTAAATAGTACAAAATGAGTTTTGGCAAATTTATGGGATATAGTTAGATGAGATGAGGCAGTAAGTGAGATTGGATTTCACCTGCGTCAAACGTGAGAACAAGTTAATTTCATAGATTATATAATTTCCTAAAATTGCATAAGCAGAAAAAATGGAATGGCATATTTTGTATGTTCAGAAAACTCAGGTGAACATCTGTAGAATTTCGAACTTTGAATAAATCGGAGAACACCGAAATTTAGGACGTCGTAAATAAATTTGATTTCTACGCCAAGATTACGACCGGATTTGAGGGCTTCTTCCATGCTAAGAATTCCATCACTTGTACCACTGATGCAGCTTTCCACTAAAAGATAGTTAATAGAAATATTTAACTAATTTAACCAGATGAATTATGCACATTATATTGCTATTAAACATACGTGTTCAAACTTAAATTTGGGAGATGTACTGATTAATAAATTACTGATTGGATAAGTTTATTCATTCACCGGAGGGCTTATAAAGCATACCGTCGGCTCAATTTTAAAATGAGCTAAGTGCACGTATGTAACTACAATACTAAATGGCTGCACTTAGCTTGTAGCAAACTTAACAAAAGAGAGACCACTGTGCTCATAAAATAAGCCGACGATACGCAAATAGACAATGGAGAAAAAAATCCTTTTGAATAATTATTCATTAATTCTTCATCCACTGAATGAATTATTCATTCATTCACTTCATACCAATAATTAAGTGTCATACCCAAATTCCCTGAAATATTAGTCGCTTAAGGGGCTCGCACTTCGCAATGAAATCTATCAGTTCTTCAGCATCACTGGAAAGATCGTCAAATACGGTTTTCGACCAGTTACCGTCCAGGCCAATAATCCTCAGCTCGGAGAGACCTAGATTGTAAATAATTTAAAAATGACAACAACCACATGATTTATTTGAAGATATTAAACCGCAGGTAGTTCACCAGATTCTAAAACTAGTACATTAATAGACATAAATTCAAATATTTGGTTAGAACCTTCAGGAAGAAGGTAGCCTGCCAAGGTGCCAAAAATTTGCGGGCAACCGAGAAGAAGTTCAAACATGGTAACTAAAAAGTGAATGTCAAACTAAGACTTCGTTGGAAAGTCAGTAACTTTATCTAATACTTAACCTGACACAAATATGACATATGTTTCATCTGATTATGATCGAATTGATGACATGGGACCACCGGTTGGCATCTTAGGACGGTACCTTGTGCCTTAAGAAAACGGCGGTAGCCAAATATCGCAGCAACTTTACAAATTTACGACGAATTTGCTTACCAGTTAGATCTAAGGATTCTAATGCTTTCAAAATTTGACTTAATTCAAGCTTTTGATTTTTAATCAAGATGTCCAAGCGGGTCAATAACTTCCATGTGGCTAAACTCTCAATCATGTTGGCAAGTTTGGCAGTCGCATCGTAATTTGTTGCCCTCGGGTTCTTGAATGTTAGATGGGCCACGTTAGGAAATGGGTTTGTGAGAGGTTGAGAAATGTTGATGAAATCTCTGGTATTCCCAAGATGGAGGTGTGTAACGCCTACAAAATTCATTAGTTTGGAGATAACATTTTGCCTAGCTTATTTCAAATAATTTTGACAACTGGGCATTAATGGTTAAAATGAGTAAAAAATTAATAAAAATTTTAGGACCTTCATGTAGAACCCGTGGTATGACAGGATCGTCCCGGAGCACATCAAAACTAAGGTGTTGGCTCTGTACGTCGAACAGTTCCAGAGAAAGGCTTACTAAATTGGGAAAGTTAGCAGGTACAAATTCCCCAACGTGAAAAATATCACATGCCAGATTCTTGAAAGTTTTCAGTTTCGGGAACCTCGGAAATCGTGTGACGCGATGTTCGACGTTGAACCCAAAGTTGGATGACTCGGCAAATCCGAGCGTTAGGTTCTCCAATGTGGGAGAAACCTGGGTTAATAGGGGGACGAGCTGGTCGAATCCTTCGGGTCCGTTAAAGCTAAATGTTCATAGGGGTTTAAGTGATTAGTTAAAGTTGTGACCATATGCAGCTCGAACTTCCTCACTCTCCTAAGCGAAAAATTAAGAAGCCGGCTGCCATAAATCTGTTTAGCCCAACTCACTTATGTTCATCGCCGTGTACGGCAAACCAGTCCAAAGTTTTTAACGTCTCTGTACATCTCGCCAAATCCGGGAAGAGCATTCCCCTTATTTTCAAAATTTTTAAGCTTGCCGCCGAATCGATTATGGTTTGCAAATTGTTCTTCACATTTTTGAAACTGTTTCCACTAACTTCCAGCACTTTAAGATTTCTTAAGCAAACGACTCCAAAATCGGGAACACCTTTGTCGGAATATATTGAAATTGACATCTTAACCAAATTCGGGAGTCCATTAACCGACAAGATTTCAAGGAAGGATGCCCAAACTGGGGAATCCATGCAGTGATGAATTTCCCTAATTTGTCGCCCCAGAATTGATACGACCCGTTGAAAATTAATTTCTTCATTACGGTAAGCAAACTTTAAACAGATGTATTTCAGTAGGGCGGGGTTAACGTTTTGAATTTCATCAGCTGTGGTCGAACTCTTGGAGAAGAGGCGCATTGAGAAAATTTTTCTCATTCCCAGTTCGGTAGCGCCGATGGTGTTCCAAATAGAAGACACTTTCCGGACAGTTTTGAACCGGTTTGTGTCCAAATATGAGAAAATGTTGGACAGAATCTGAAATTTATAGGGAAAACAATACATATAATTAACGTTCAGTTACCAAATTCAAGTTTCCCTCAAAATCTTCATTATTTCTTCAATCCAAAAATATAACCCGGATTAAAAATTGTACCATGGAGTGGGAGAATGTGCATAATTTCAAATTAAATTGAGATATGTCCGAATTTCAAGGCAATTTTGCAATTCAATCGACTTGAAAGAAATGCAGGCAAATTTTGATAAGAGAAATAATTTTTGTCCTGCTTACTATTGGATTTGTGAAGACGGAGTTAGAGTTCGAACACGGCACTGGCTCCATACCGATTTAGAAAGAATAAATAATTTTTGACAATATTTATAGAGTAAATTTTACACTGACAGATGGGATTCCTGTTTACCAAACAATATTATTGAATGCCTTTACGTAGATTATTACTTCAATACAGGATGGGGTCCAAACTGAATGGCTGTATTGAATGAAATATTTCCGAAAATGAATATTTATGATGTGCAGCTTTTTCAGGTTAAATATTAAAAAGTTACTTTTGGTTCTGAGAAGGGTCGGGTTGGATTGAGTTGACTTTACTACTTGATGAGGGTTGACGACCCTTTGAAGATATTAAAATTAGAATTTCATGGGGTCATTCACCCTTTTCATGCGGGGTCGTATATATACAACGTTTTGGATCTTGCCAAGCTTGAAATTGCATATCAAGGACGAAATACTCACAACCTGGTATTTGTGGTTATTAAAAAATTGGTTACTCATAATTCATAGACTTCACAGTTAAACGATGGTTATTCATTCATACTTGATAATTGCATATCCCCGTCATTGAATAAAATCAAGTCATTGGTCCATGAAAAAAATCCACTTACTGTAAAATGATTAGGAGGTAAGTATACTAATTTTGGAAATTTTGACATGCAAATTCAAAAATTATTAGTATTCACCAAACGGAAATTTAATAATTTCCATTCAAAAATTTGGTGGGGAAATAAGCAATTGAAGTTTCTTAGCTTGGATCCAGGGCTGTGCACTTTTATTTAATGCTACTTTTTTGTTGTCGAGTGTGGGGGGGCAGGACAAAGTATTTATTTTCAACTAGATTTGCAACTGGGCCAACCTTAGTAAATTGTAGGATATCCTGAAATTACTACAAAGGAAATAAATAAGATGACATATTTTTAACTTTTAGCAAATTTAAGTTAAAATCATGAAATGTACTTAAATAAATTGAAACTCAGGAGACAAACTTTCGACGTCTACTCCGAGACAACGACCGAAATTTGAAACTTTCTTCCAGCTAAGAAATCCAAGATGCCGTCCAAACTTGGCCATTAAACAGCATTTGGAGCGTACTCGTATTTAAGTGAAAATCATAAATTAAAAAAAACTTAAAAACAGGAGATCCCAAAGTTCTACTCAAAGATTACGATCGGAAGAGAAGACTTTCTATTTGCTAAGAAGTCCATGATGCGAACCATGGATGTAGGTTTCCACTAAAAAAATATATAAAATTTATTTAAATGATTCAGAAACTCGAATAATACTTAATTACCAATGAATTTACAACTTACCCAAATTCCCTGAAAAGTTAGCCGCTTAAGGGCGCCACAATTCGAGATGAACTCAAACAACTTGCCCCCATCGCAGGGCAGATCGTCAAACACGGTCCGTTGTTTAGAAATTTCATCATCCGGTTCAAAGTAGTCGCCGCGGCAGACAATCTTCAATTCTGTAAGGCCTACAGAAAAATAAATTATTTAGCGTGGGAGATTCAAAAATAAGAAATTATTAGACTACAGACTTCAGTACTAGTTTTGACCAGTAACTGAAATTGTAAAGTAGAAGAAAACTAATTATTTACCAGAATTCACGTCCAAGGAAGAATGCAATGCTTCCACCACGTTACTTAATCTCGGTTCATAAATTAGCAGCACGATGTCCAAGTGGGTCAAGAGTTTCCATGAAGCGCACGTCTCGATAATCTCCGCAATATAGATGGATTCCTCCAGGTACTCGGCATTGCTATAAATATTCCTGCCCGCATCTTGCGGCAGGATTTCTAGAGTCAATTGTGTCACACTAGGAAATTTTACGGGTGCCAGAGAAACCATTATGAGGTCGCAAATATTCCCCACTTGGAGTTTTGTTATGCCTGGAAATGATCGTTACAGATATTTAATGTCAAAACCGACATTTCTCGAATATTTATAAGGATGTGATTTAGAAATTCAGGTTTTAGCTGGAACAGGGTCTGAGGAGCAGCGCGGACGTCAGCATTATTGTAACGATTTGCGCATGCGCATGTAATGTGCTATCATCATGCCATGTCACGTGTTGGCTTGAGACAGTTGTGCGCTTCTTACACTTTTTAATTATGTACTAGATGTAAAACAGTGGAAAATTTACTTACCTTCATGTCGAATTCCACTTTCCACAGGACGATTCCTATCAACGTCCAACTGCACGAGTTCTCTCGTTAGGCGGAAAGGCTGCTGCGAAAGGGTGATCAACTTAGGAAAATTTTTGAAATCCACATCAATTTGGAAAACATCGGAAGCCAAATTTTGAAAGGATTTGAGCCTTGGGAACGGAGGGATGGCAGTGATCGGGAGTTGATCTGGCTTCTTGTAATGAAGGGTAAACTTTATGCCAAGGCTGAGATGCTCCAATGTGGGGGAGACTTGGGATAAGAAGGGGTGAAGCGGCTCCAAACTTTGAATTCTGTGTTAAGGTACAAATGGCATTAATATTTGTAACTTCCTAAACTTGGCAATTATCTAATGTCCCTTCATCGAAGTACTTAATTTTTCAAACGCATCCTAATTTGCAGAATTTGCATAATTTGGTGCGTAACTCAAATTGAGTTACTCAATACGCATTACTGTGGTTACTATCGTAGCACGGATATTTTTAGTTTGAGCAACCTAGTTGAAAAAACTCAATTTCATATTTGACACGGTCACTTCTCCGTCATTATAAATATAAACTCACCTCGCACCAAAGATCGATACGGCATGCCACTCCAAATTTTTTAGAATTTTTCCGTATTTTCCCAAATCTGGGAAGAAATATCCATGAATTTTCAAACTTTTTAGGTTTGGCGCTGAATCGATTATGGTTTGCAAATTGATGTTCACATTGTGCATTTCAACGTCTCTTATCTGATAGAACTCGAATACTTTCAGATTTATGAGGGATACTGGTCTAAAATTGATATACGTATGGTCATGATAGGATTTTGTGAGGGCCAGCCTGACCAGATTTGGGAGCCCGTCCGCCATCAGGATTTCTACGAATCCCGGCCAAACTTCTGGGATCATGATTAGTCGAATTTCCCTGATGTGTCGCCACCATGACGACGTGACTGATGTGAACGGGTTATAAAAACTGAGGCGTGTGTCTCGTAGAGATATTCGTTTGACCAGGGCAGGATTTATTTTTTGAATTTCTTCCGGTGTTGCGAAATTTTTTTGGAAGTCTTCCATCGGGAAGATGGTCCTGGTTCCGAGCACTGTGGCTCCGATGGCGTTCCAAGTTGTGGAGATTGCTCGGAACGATTTGACGCAGTGGGTGTCCAAATATGAAAACATGTTGGAAAGGATCTGAAATTAGGGGTAAGATATTAAAACGGCTTAACAAGCTGGCATCGACAATATGTAAAAATACATATAAATAAATTAAATTAAATGCATCCAAAAATCCAAATGCAATTTTGACTTGTATAAATAATTCGTAGAAATTGTAAATTATCTTTTGAGTATATCTAGAATTTATAGCTATATGAAATTTGATAATATTTTTTTTCTATTTTGAATATGTTTGCACATTGTGGTTATATAAAATTAATAAGAGCAGAATTATGTTTTTATTTGACAAGATTTGTTTTATCACAAATAATTTTTCAGCAATATGTATATTTTGTAGTTATTATCTTACCACTGGATTTATGAGGATGGACTGGGAATTTGGAGGCTCCATAGCAAGTAGATGTTAATATTTGAAGAACAAACTATTTTAAATATGTAATTTGATCGTACAAATTTGCACTGACGGAATTCTTCTTAAATATACGAAAAAAATTTGAACGGTTTTCTGCAACAGTATTAAGAATGTCCAAACTGTGTATGCGGTTGATAGAGTGAGTGGAATTTAAGTATGTCTGCATATTATATGTGTATATTCCTTATTAAAAATACCAAATTCTATTTGTTGTTCTAGAAATTCTTAGAAAGGTCAGGTTGGAAGGGCTACGTAGATTTACGCTACCCTCAGATGGTGGAAATGCCTTAAAAATACTAAAATTATACGTGGGTTATCGACCTTTTTCATTCGTGGAGTTTAACACATACTAAATACGTGTCGAGGATCCGGCCAGGCTAAAAATACATTCAACGAAGAAAATCTACATGGTTGGATTATTTAAAAATGTTCACCCAAATTTGAGAATTTTTGAAAATCCCATGCGCACTTGAGGTTGTGTTAACTGCAGTGGAACCTCTGAGTCCCTATTTTCGTGGCTGTTCGTATTTCCTTGCTAAATTGTACTACGAAATCTTCACCTCTCCTCTTCATGGGGGGTTGAGGAGTTTGACTCTTCCTATTGTAGATTCCTAGATGTGGTCCTTATAGGATTAATATGAACCGGTTATGCATATATTACTCTGTATTATGTTCAGTTATGTGCATAATTAAAATAATTTGGTATCGTACGAAAACGCATTTATTTTTTTGAGTTTATTTATCTAAATGTCCTTATCTGACCTTATGGTGAATAATAATTCGGAAAGGTATTTCCTAAATAATTTCGTTGAAAACAGCAACGAAAATATGAAGAATGGAGACAAAATTTCAATTCATTCTCTGAACTTCGGAGTAGGTATAAAAATATTTGGAATTTTATGATTCCATTATTGCAATACATAGATTCAACGTCTTTACGATATGACCCAAGCAAAATTCCATTAATTGAAGTGCTCGGATTTCTTGCAATGCCTACCTTCGAAACACGCAAACTAGCTCGCCTGTAAGTATTTTATATAATCTAGGATAAAAGTAAAGTAAATAATTAATAAATTCATGCCGAGAGTAGCATCATATTTTATAAAAGCTAACCTCAGCAGAAATATTATAGGTTCGATCGATTGGCGTCGCTGAGTTTTCACTGGTGATAGTCCGAATTTAAAAAAAACAAGTTTACACCATAATTTGTATTCTGTAAAAATACATACAGATAATCATATTCCTCCTATTTTGATAAAGAATTGTTTTGCCGTCTGCCGAAATAAACTTGAAGGAAATATGGGTTTGTTCAACTTTTAGATAAAACTACATGTAAATATGTAGTTTTTCCCCATTTTAGCCCAAAGTGAAAGTCAGCCCAGTTTAAGTGAAACGAATGACGTGCAGATTTATTCGGTAAAAGTGGGAGTAAAATCATTATTGTATTCTATTAATTCGAATAATTTGGCATCCTTTGCAAATATCCATGTACTTTTTTAGTTCAATTAATATGACTTTATGGCAATAAATTCAGAAAGGTATTTACTAATTTTGTTGAAACCAGCCATGAATTTACGAAGAATCGAGACAAACTTTTAATTCAATATATTCAATACAATTGCAATATATTCAACATCTAGGTGATATGACTCAAGCTAACATTTCATTACCTAAGTGCTCGGAATTTTTTTCAATGCCTACCTACATATATTGCGACTCGCAACTTCTTATTGCAAGGTGCTGAAAACACGCCAACTAGATCGCTTGTAAATATTCTATGTAATCTAAGATAAAAGCGGAGTCAATCATTCATAAATTCATACCAGGAATAACACCATATTTTATAAAAGCAAACTCAGCAGAAATATGTTTAGGTTCGATCGATTGGCGTCTTTGAGTTTTCACAGGTGCTAGTTAGAATTGTTAGAAATAAGTTTACACCACAGTTGCTAATAACAACTTATTAGTGTGTAAAGATAAGCTATCGTTCCCGTTACCTTGATAAATAATTGTTTTTCCGTCTGAGTAAATAAATTAGAAGGAATTTTCAATGTGTACAGCCGTTATTGTGGTTGATAAGTATTTTACAGGTCCTATAGACCTCACATAAATTACTTACAACGAGCTTTTATAGTCTGTTAGCACCTGTATTGAGAACATACCCGCTTTACCCGTATAAAACTTGTTTTAATAATTAATAATGATGACGCCTATTTATATGTTCTCAATTCCTTTCTTTTATTTCACCCTTGCCGCAGCCAAGGCTGCCGATATTCTTCCCGTTTTTCACATTTTGCTAGACAAATTAGGCCCTTGCGACATCCAAATAATCGCCGATGGCTGGAGAACCAATATTGATTGGCACAATGTAATCCAGCCAGTAAAAATTGTACACTCCCCACACAACAGGACCCTCGATCATGGATTAATACAAATAAATATTTTCAAATCAAAAGTTGCCAGTTTGCCATTTTCCTGTACTAACAACATCTCACTGATGTTTCTAATGGCGGAAATCTTAATATATTGGCATGGTCTCATATGACCTGGAGTATGCACTTGTTCCATGAAAGGAAAGGCCAACCCTTTAAAAGAAATAGTGTTCTAATTACCCTGGTCACTACACAAAAAAGCCTCCAAAACTCTACCATCGAAATGAGGAGATGGACCACAGTCAGCATTTTGTTCATTCTTCCAGAACAAAGATTCGAAATATGTGCCTGGAACGGTGTAGTAGGACAGACACCTAGCTGGGAATTTTGGAAATTCTCTCTCTCCCATCACTTAGTTTGTCACCATATTCCTTCCCACCTTAAATACAGTTTGTTTAATTATGTCCGTAGTATAGAAGCCCCTCTAAGATCATGGTGTTCTTCCAACCAGGAATTAATTCCTTTAGGCGAAGTGGTAGGACACAAATTGAGGAACCCATTCAACAAAATTATCAAAAAGTTCACGGCCACAGGAAACGTCGTGCAGATCGTATTTTTAACTGTAAATCAAACACGTATTCCGAGGTGCACTTTTACTTCCGAAGGACGCTTTGAGTTTCGAACTACGAATCATAACTTGAATTGGCGCAGTTATTTAGATACATCGGTGTCGATTGGGCCTGCAGGATATGAATATTTATCCTGCTATCGACAAGAATATGTCTCTTTTAGATTCTACATTACGCCTTTCGAGCCAAGGTTGTGGGTAGCTTTGGGCATCTCACTGGTGTCAATTGTTGCAATTCTTTCAACCTACAAATACTTCACAGCGCTGAGAGGCATCTCTTTCTCCGCGTGGCTGTTCATACTTGGCACCCTGTTTGAGGAGAGCAGTCCCATACCGGTCGAAATTGGGCGGAGGTGGTTCGTCCGCTTCATCCTAGGCTCCTGGTGCGTAGTGTCTTTGATTTTAACAAATTGTTACAGTGGAACTATGATATCTGAACTTAACTCACCGCTACCGGCTCTACGCCCATCCAGTTTTGCAGACCTAGTTTGCGAAAATATTGAAGGGAACGATGTACCAAAATTTCATGAAACCTACAACATTATGAAGGCGAAAATGGAAGCAATGTTTTACAATAATTCACATCTAAAGGATGGAAGTACTGATATAATGAAATCTTTTTTACAGGGAACACCAAAAAATATCTATGGAAGGGTTGCATGGTATTTTGCGCACACAAGGGAAATTATACTTAACAGTGAACGCACATCTCTGTGGAAGTTCAACGCTTGGACGGCACAGAAGATGGTAAATCCGTTCTCCTCAAGCCATTGTTTCCGACTATTGTCGCTCCCGCATATCAGCGATGGTTATCTTACCCATCCCGAGTTGCTTCAAGTCCTTAATCTGTTTGTAAAGGATGATATTAAGGAGCATAAGATCCAAATCATGTTGATAGGGAGACTTTAAACATCCTCGGCCTATTTGACCCAATGCATTCCCACTTTCTTACAGATTTTATGTATCCCAAACTAAACCAAACTTTGGACCAGATTCGGAGTAGTGTGGAAAGTGAATTAGTGACTTGCGGGAAGTCAGTTTTTATTGCAAAATCAGATATCATTAGGGCAGAATTAAAATTCTTAGTTAAACATTACTCAGCTAAGCAATTTTAGACTGTGAAAGACCTCATTAATAATAGGTATCTGAGTTGGTATTTCTATAACGCTGGGTACTCAAAGGTGCCCAGGTATTTCAAAAGTGTAGCAGAGTCGGGTATACAGTCCCGTTTACGGAAGGAGGAATTTCAACAAATATTTCTAGATCGTCTGCCAGTGAAAAAAGTGGGTAAGGAAGATTCGGTTAAACCAATTAAGTTGGACGGTGCGATTTCCACTCTATTTATTCTATATGGAACCACAATTATTGGAGCTTTGTTAGCATTCAGTTTGGAAAATTGTTACTCTTTTTATATCTCAATGAGGCATGTTGTTACTTCAGTGGGTGGACTAATTCAAAAATTATTCACGCCGGCGTAGAAAGTAGATTTGTGTTTTATTGTTAATAAATTGCATCCAATATAGAAAGAAAGTGAATAAATATTTTTTCCGGAAATATGGTCAAAGGTTTCACTTAAAATCTACATTTTCTTGAAAAT